CCTCCAAGTGCAGCGAACTTAAGAAAGTCGCAGATCATCGAACATTTTTGAATAGACGGGCTAGGCAACTGGCTGGCTAAACAACCCGGGTGAATCTCAAATCCTCCGATATTGCTCACCCTTATGCAGAGCCTTTCACCTCGATGCTGACCACACTGCGATCAATTTGGTCTCCGCTAGATGCTGTGTTTATCTTTCTCTACAACCTTCTCCCTAGCTGGAATCCTGGCACATTTGTTATCGAAGAAATGGAATCATCTTCGTCTTTGAGCCCCAAGGATGTAGGTCCCAATAGCGAATACCCCTTGCTGGGACCCCCTCTAATGTTCATAGGCTATCCCAGCTGCTGCATATGAAATTCCCGATCACCCTTCAAACGTCGAAGTGAGAATTGTTCGTCCGTATTATCCTCCTGGCGTGTCCCAGATCATTGGCCGCAGTGGTCGACATTTTATCGGCCTGCTCAATGAATCAACCGTTCTCAAGTACCCATACATACCTGGCGATCGTGTAGGTATCGAGGTAGAGGCGGAGCTTCTCGATCTCGTCGGCAGCCACCCACGGATCATCGCCTCGAAAGGTCTCAATGAGCATGGCCTAGTCCTACAGTATGCAAGGAACGGCAATGTCTGCGATCGCTTCACAACGGGTCATGATATTTCCTTCGACCAAAAGCTCCGCTGGTGTAAACAAGCTGCGGAAGCCGTCAAATACATACATCAGAAAAGAGTTATCCACTGTGACATCAATGTTCGCAACTTGCTACTGGACGATAACCTTGACGTCTTACTCGCAGACTTCCAGGGCGTGTTGAAGTCCGAGAATGGCGAAAAATTGCTGGACGGGGAGTCGAGAGAAAATTCTAAAGCATACATGCCTCGCGTTCACGGTGACATTGCCAATGCCAAGACGGATATCTTTGCACTGGGATCTCTATTTTACCATATCATGATGGGACATGAACCGTTTCCGGAATTGAATGATTGGGAGCATGATGAGGAGATTGAAGAACGTTACAAAAATGGCCAATTTCCTACTGACAGCCATGCATGCTCTCATATTACAGATAAGTGTTGGAGGCAGTTGTACGAGTCTGCTGATGAGATAATCTTTGACCTTTCTCAGATTCAGGCGGCAAAGGATGCTGGTACGGAATACTAAGACAATAGATAGATTGCAATTCGCAAATAAGATTTGATTTCAAAGCTCAATAGTCCCTCCTTGTACACTAATGCTGTCGCTTGATCAGAAGTTTACGTTTATCTCTGTCGCTATCACAAGGCCAAGCTTCAGAGTTGACGAAACTTATTGAATCCATTATCAACACTTCGGACAGATTCCGAATCTCTTGGTAATGATTCCCATGTGCACATCCTTATATCCGCTGCAGTTTGGCTTGCCACAAGGAGGCCGAGGATCATAAGTGGTAATTGTATGCTTCGGCTGTGCAGTGCAATTGACATACTTGGTTGTGTTGACGAATCGCTCACACATGTTGATATGGGGAAAGAGAAGCCGTGCTGTGTATGATCTGGTTAGTTCTGACATGACTTCATGGAGAGATGTGGCACTTACGTTGATGAGGAGCACTTGTAATGGCAATACTTATATCAATGAGCTTCGCAGATTTTGAAGTGGATATGTTCCTTCAAACGAAGAGTGGTGCTTGCATGGTATTTATGCACACCTGGGGCTTTCTCACTATGCTAACAGCAGATAACGATTCGGAAAATGCCATGACATTGTCAGGACACAGCCTGCCTGCATCGTGAGGACTTGAAAGGCAACAGCCGGAGCAATACATAATCCACACCAGTTCGTTCGAAGGAGAATGACCCAAGGCATTAAAATCCTCACAGAGGGTGTCGACGCGCTGACTACTAGACAGAAAACGATATATCGCGTCTATCCGATCAGCTAATGGAGAGGTATGTCTCATCAGGCTGCCTTGTCACCTAGACATGCGTGCCCCGGCGCATCGTTGGAAATTCGCGATGCAGACGGCACTGTCTTTGATATACCCATGTTAAACATGGCATCCCTTGAAAGCGAACGACAAACTATGAGTGCCTGCAGCTCCACGAGAGGCTCAATCCTAGCTACATCTCTGATGCATGGTTTCAATTCCAGCGATCATGGCCTGTGGCACCGACATGTCCCGTCCCGTCCTGCCAGGTGTAAGTGAGTTATGAACCCATGAGCCCTCGCTCGCCGTATTCACCTAAATAATGGGAATACAATCGATTCTCCAAGTGCCGATGTACTGCCGTTGTATGAAATGTGGCTGTCGGGAAATAGAGCCGTCAAGCATGTACTGGAGGATAGGCAGATGAAGTTGAAACTGGTTGCTGGCCGAGATATTATCAATCAGTATATTGCGTACCTCTCCTGACAGTTAGCCCTAATACTCACCTATAATAAATAGGATGTCTCATATGTCGAATCTCATTTTGGGGTACCGTGGAGTCAACTTCTTGGTCCTTGATGATTATGTTCTTGGCAGGCATATTCTGTGTGGAAATAGATGAACACAGTATGCAGGAAGAAGATTCTATAAGTCAAATAAATCACAGCTGCTGTAATAGCGCGAGCTGTTTACATTAAGTGAATAGCGCGGAATAATATATACCCTACGTCCGTTCGTGATCACCTTCACGCTAGACCTAACACCAGAAGTATGAGAGCACGATGGCTATCCGGGAAGTAGTTAATAATGTGTTACTTTATTTCTGTGTAGACTTTCCCTTCGTAGCGTTCTTTTGCTGTGGTGGTCGCACCGTCGTGAGTACTATCTCTTGTGATTTCAATGGTACTGATATTTCGCCGTCAACTCTCAACGCATTAACGTACTGCTGAAGTTTTTCAAGACAATAAGTTGAGTGGAACAATCCCAGAGAACTAGTGAAAACACCATGGAAGAGGAAATAGTTAGTACTCGTGTGCCTGCTTGTATTGGTATGACCCGATCGATTGAAAGCTGCTTCTAACTTCGCAATGCCCAGACCATGCAAAATGGACCTTCTCAAGCGCCAGGGTATCCAGAAGTCCTGCATTACAGGTTTTTCCCCCCCAGTCTGGAGGGTCTCAATTTTGTGCCCAACTTCGGAGACATCGTTCTTCATTTGAAGGGGCAATTTCTGGCCTGGGGAGGAACTGCGGTCCTAGAACGTATGCCCTCAGGAAATGTGGTCAAGACACCGCTGCCGAACCCATACTCCCAACGCGAACATGAGCGCCATAGGAAAAGTATGCGTTTCGAGGCCATTATCTATGAGATTCTCAAAGACCATCCGCGCGTACCAAAATTGATGGATTGGGACCCTACCACCTGTTGCTTAACGATGGAGTATGTCAAGAACGGGAGCCTTGCGGATTTCATAGAAAGGCATCACCAATCGATAGCCGATGGTATGAGAAGCAAATGGGCGAGACATGCAGCCGAAGGTGTTCAATTGCTTCACCATCATAACATCATCCATTCCGATCTATCGCCTCACAACTTTCTCGTCGACTCGAACCTGGACTTGAAGATCTCGGATTTTGCTGGCTCCTCTGTTTTCGGTGCACCTGGCTCTGCTCTTCCCGGCACCCGCTATCGTGATCCACATGTTGAGGGGTATGTTCTCCGGTTCTCAGATGACATCTTCAGCCTGGGATCAGTCATTCACTTCATAATGACTGGCAAGCACCCTTATCAGAACCTGCCCAGTGATAATGTCAAGTACCTCTTCCAGCGCTCCCAGTTCCCGGAGGTCGGTCACCTCTCATGTGGCAGTATTATAAGGCGGTGCTGGCTGTTGGAAGTGGATGCCACTGAAGTGTATGAATACTTCATCAGGCATAGATAATTGGATGGTTTTTGTATTTCCTAAATCCCAGCCAAACATAAGAGGTTCATATTTTGTCCATTCTCACTGGCCATCCGCACTGCACGTCATGGCAGTGTTCGTAACTGCTAATTGCAGCGATAGTAACTGTGTACCATATGCCTGAAATCCCCTTACTGATGTGGGGAATATCGGTTGCAAGTTGCTGTCCCGACCGATAGACGCTCACCCTGCTGCTTGCAGACGCATTAAGAAGTCGCGTTTCTCGCACACCAGTTTACTCCCTGTTCACGACCGATCATAGTGCAAGGCGAAGGAACCAGTATGTCATATGTCCAAAAAGAGAAGGTTTGCACATTCAGCCTTCTATAGTTGAGTTAAACGTATAAAGCATTAATGTGAAAAGATTTCGCTACTAACCAATCCAAAAAATTAGATACTCAAGGTTAGATAGAAGGGTTTGTTTTAGGACGGCAGTAAGATGTGCTTTGTATATGCTCTTTTTGGCAAAAGGCCTTTTAATAAGGACCCTATATTGGCTTTGGCCAAGGCATGGAGAGATGTAGATGGTTAAGTTGAGCCACTGGAGGCGCGACTTTATAGCTTTGTTAGACCTTCCTTGAGTGAATCATAGAATTCAAAATGACTACAGTATTCGGGTTCACCATTTATCCGAGTGAAACCTTCAGAGCGTCATGTGAATGATCCTGTTCACCATATTGGATATCCCCTATATAGGCAATGCAATCTAGAGAGCACATTTTCGATGTATCCGATGTATCCCGCTACTATTCAAGAGTCCTTGTTTGATATATTGTTCCTGTTATTGCTGTCACATTTTCGTCCCACGTTATGCTCTGAACAGCCAGAATCTTATTGGTTTGGCTGTTCTCTTAAGAAACTCATTTGTCCTGGGAAAGCATACCCTATGCAAAGAGAAAATTGGAGCGGAAACCAAAACCTAAGGCCACTTAGCATAACTATTGATGTAAATTGAAGTACGTAGAGCTATCATTGAATCGAAATAGACCTATTGATTCAACTGCTGGGCTTGGCATTCCAATGCGCGGTGACCCAGAAAGTTAATTTGGATGAGAGAAGAGTAGTGAAGTCATCCGTCAGATGACTCCCGCAGTTCCAATTTTCTCATATATACAGCCAGACATAAGAAACTATTGAATACTAAAACCATACACCGTCCATTTTGAATTGAAATTTCTCGTTTCATCATGTTCCCAAACCTACAGAGCTTGTCCGAAGAGGACGAATATAAGGATAACCCGGCACCTTCCGGCCGGCGGCGGTCGTCTGTGGTTCCACCTAGCCTGCAGTTCCTCATCGATCAGGACTCTCAGCAAGCTAGTAAAGAGCCCGCTGAGTGGGAAAAGTCATGGGATCAAACGTATGTTTCATATATCGCTGGGTGATGAGCTAGTAGGTTTTCTAACCCCACCAGGACTGAAAACCCGGAGCTTTGTGATTTCTTGGATCGAGTCTCCTCTCGAGATCCAACCGATCCAGACCGACCAGGTGGGGACAGAGTGGGAAGGGGTTCTTGAGTGAAAAAGAAATCTCAGATCACGATCTCAGGGACTGAACGTATCATGTAAGCGACGTTGTTGGATCAAACATGTGATTGCTATTCTCTCATTTGTAGGAATTGCCGTATAACACAAAATCTTTTCGACAATGTGATGATCATTGTCTTCCCTTGTAGAGTCGCAGCTGATTATTACTAAGCTTAATGCGTGAAAAGCTGTAGTTTGTAATAGTTTGTAGCTAAAGATCGTGCTATTCGGAGCACAGCTCAGAAGTGGACAATGCTCCTGAACTCGGAATACCCGAGTATCCATCGAGACATTTTGTGTAGAGATGCTAGTGGGTCGAACCGGAGGAAATGGCATGTTACAATAGTGATAGCATCACCACGTCAACGGATGTGGAAACACTATAACCTACTAAGCTTCAGCTAGCCGAACACTGACCAATCGCCTTACATTTGGACCCACAGCAAGTGGGCCATATCAGCCCATCAGAATCAGCCCATTTTTCATCGCTCCGATTAGCAGCGATTCTGACGTCTGCCCCGGACACCAGGATATCATCTCCACCTGGTGTACAATTGGCTGCCAGTGGGTCTAACTTGAAATATCTCGCAATAAGATGGCTTCCTCCTTCCTCTTCCACTGACATACCGCAAATTTCACGCATTCTCATCCAGGCACAGTACCCGTATTGCATGGCATCTTCTTTGCCACAGTGTGACGGATATAGATCAAATCGTCATCTGTGCCCTTTCATCTATTGATTCACCTACGGAGTGATCCATAACTCCACAAAATGGACCGTCGCCTCACAATCGCATCCCAAGTTGCGGTCGCGGCCGTAGCTGGCTATTGCATCTACAAGGCCTTCAATGCTCGACAGCAACAACAATCCCTGAAGGATGCCGTGCCTAAGTCATCTGCTGCTCCTCTGACACCAGAGCAGATCAAGATTATCAAGGCCACAGTCCCTGTTCTACAGGAATATGGGACCAAAATCACCACTGCCTTCTACAAGAACATGTTGACGGCGCATCCCGAACTCAACGCCGTGTTCAACACCGCCAACCAGGTCAATGGCCACCAAGCACGTGCGCTAGCTGGTGCACTGTTCGCATATGCATCTCACATCGACGATCTCGGGGCCCTCGGTCCCGCCGTTGAATTAATATGCAACAAGCATGCATCTCTGTACATCCAAGCTGACGAGTACAAGATTGTTGGCAAGTACCTCTTGGAAGCTATGAAGGAGGTGCTTGGAGATGCCTGCACCGATGAAATTCTCCATGCCTGGGGTGCCGCTTACTGGGCTTTGGCCGACATCATGATCAATCGCGAAGCCGCACTTTACAAGCAAAGCCATGGCTGGACCAACTGGCGCCAGTTCCGGGTTGCCAAGAAGGTGCCCGAGTCGGACGAGATCACCTCGTTCTACTTGAAGCCAGTTGACGGCAAGCCACTGCCGTCATTCAGGCCAGGCCAGTATATCTCGGTTAGTGTCCAGGTTCCGGAGTTGAAGTACCCCCAAGCCCGGCAGTACTCGCTCAGTGACACCCCGCGCTCAGATTACTATCGTATCAGCGTGAAGAAGGAAACGGGGCTCGATTCTCGTGCTCCGGGTGCAAAGAGACACCCTGGATACGTCTCCAACATTCTTCATGACATCATCAAGGAGGGTGATCAATTCGATGTATCTCATCCCTATGGAGACTTCTTCTTGTCAACTGCTGAAGCTACCCACCCGATTGTTCTTCTCTCCGCTGGTGTCGGGATTACACCCATGATGTCCATCCTGAACACCATCACCCAGAAGAAGCAACGCAAGATCCACTTCATTCACGGATCCCGTACGACCGAGGCTCGCGCCTTCAGAAGTCATGTTCGCAAACTGGTAAACGACATCCCTGATATGCAAGTGACCTACTTCCTCAGCAAGCCAGGTGGTAGTGACCAGCTGGGCGTTGATTACCACCACGCTGGAAGAATTGACCTGCAGAAGCTCGACGGGCCGTCTCATCTGTATCTAGACAACCCTGCTACGGAATATTACGTCTGTGGCCCCGACACATTCATGACGCAAATGGAGCAGGCTTTGAAGGCCTATGGTGTGAGCGATGACCGAATAAAGATGGAGTTGTTTGGTACAGGTGGTGTTCCTCATAACTAGAACACTCTTCTATTCTTGCTTCTCTGTACCATACATTAGTTGAGATGTGATGTTTATTTATGATATATAACGAATGGATTTTATAAACAAAATCATGCCCATATAAGGAAAGTATTTCACTTATTTCTTTGTCTTAATCTACAAAGACACAAAGTTTGCACTTCAATTGATATAAAGGAAGAGGATAAAGATCTCAAGATCTCAGGGACTCAGGATTCATCATAGACCGCAGGTAGCCCGAAACACAAATCTCCCCCCAGAACAGCCTCCATCACGTAGTCTCAGTGCTCACCCGCCCCGTCCATATTGACTTCATACCAATCAGCATACAAACGAGTGCGTAGTTTAAAGCTCACCGATCTATCAGATATCAAATAACATAATATGGTGCCTCCCAAAGTGCTCTCAGTAGCATTATCAGGTTAGCTACAGTAGACATTCCGGAATACTGCTTCCGTCACCATGCCATTGGCGAGGATAAACGGCCATATATTCGAAGGCAACGCAAATCACCACTTCACTGAGCTATATGCGTAGCAAATATAGTTGCAGAGCCTGGAGAGACTAGATGCACTGATTCTAGCGAGGATGCCGCGTGCATAACTGAAAGGACGGCGCCTTCAGAGAGCAAGCTGGAATTCAGGCTAATTTGAGCAATATTTCCCCGTGGGCTTTCCTTATCAAGGCTCCAACGAGATTATCATTGATGGTTGTGATTCGTTGATCAGGGTGTAGAACATAGGTACAGCTATCCGATGGCTTACGGCCGGCCTCGCTAACGTTGCCACTTTCCGAACCACATAAAAATTTTTCCTTTAGCGGATCTCGCTAGATTTTCCTTCTTCGCCCCGCCCACGCTACGTACACTGCCAACACTATTTATCTCCTGCACCAACGGATCGATCTATCAAGCAGTCTTGCCGGCTTGATGATTGCCTTCGGGCAGACATGCGCTCACACTTTGGCTGGTAAGGTGACAACTCATACCCGCCCTTGTCCTTCTTTTTTTCTGTCCAGTTTACATAGAATCCCGTTATAACAATATATTCAGTGTGACATGTAGACAACGTAAAGTGAAATGCAACGAGGAGAGGCCTATTTGCGGCCCATGTGCCAAGTCCTCCCGTGATTGTGTCTTCTCCGACTGCATATTCCGTCACTACAGTGCCAGCGATCTTGCTGCCAATGAAAGGGGATTTCCCTATCCGGAGGAAAGACAGACATGGGTCAAAATACCATCTGATCGTATGCTATACTCCTGTTCTTCTGGTTATTGTCGAAGATTAGAAGGATGTGCAGCCAGGGTGGATTGAACAGATGTTAAGATTTCCACAGTCATCTTTATCCAGGTCAAAGACCCTTTCGCTGACGATGAGGAGCCATTACTTCTCCTGGACAAGCATCGCTCAATTACCAGTACACCGATAACTCCTGTTACTGAGCATAGTGTGATTCCGAGTTCTATTCACAGTCCCGCCCTGCCTGCAGAGAATGGGGTTTTGACAACAATCTTGATACGACATTTCAAAGAAGGTCCTAGTCAATGGTATCTCTACCCGTTCGACTGAGTGAACGATGAATTGACAGTCCTGACAGGTTAGACTGCTTTGACACTAATGCCTACTACTCCATCAAGGTGCCTGTCATGGTGGCTACGCGGCCCATGTTGAAGGCTGCTGCATGTGCCCTTGCCGCAAAACATCTGCACCGTATGTGCCAGGGAGAATCTCGTCGGATCTTGCGGTTATCCCATCTTCGAAACAGCGCCCTTAAATGGGCCAATGGAGGAATCGACCTGAAATATGAATCAGTACGCCTGTATGACGAGGCTATCGGATACTTGAAAGAAGCGATTAGACTGGAAATTCCGGACAATCGGCGAGACGAGATGTTCGCTGTTGTTGCCATTCTATGCATGTATGAGTTGATCGATGCTCCCAGCACCGAATGGCGAGCCCATCTAAGTGCCCTGCCATTCTTGTATTGTGGGACATCAGATGATTTCAGTTCGACATCCACTTTGCCAAACTCTCTGCTGCACATATCCCGCTCGGTCTTTTGGAGTCTCGTGCGCCAGGACTGTCTCTCAGCATGTAGGTTAACCAAGTACATCTTCTATCCACTGAGTTCCTACGTCAAAACCGGTACTTATCATGGAAACAGTTATCAATGAGACGCAGACTCGCCTCAACCTCTCCGACCTCGTTATTTGGCGCAACTTTGGCCTTAACATCTCCGCTCACGGCCATCTCTTGCCCCTATCTGTCTCCTCCACAACCGTAAACACTCCAATTTCCTCCTCTCCGAATCCCCATGCCTCCGGCCCCACACAATGTACCTGGCTCGAGGAAGATACGCTCAGCAACGCCTTGATTTGGATATTGGGCAAAATCATCAACTTCATCACGAGCGGTGACGGAATCTACCCAGGAGACTATGAAAGCCCTCCAGGCCAGCGTCCATGTTTTGGCACTACACAAGAGGACCTCCTGGAACGATGGAAGCGACTTGAGTTCGAACTGAGTGCCTGGTATGATACCTTACCGGATTCTTTCACCCCATGTGGTCGCACACAACTATGTCTATTCAATCTTGAGCAGACACACCACAGAGGCAACCCAACCCCTACAGAAAGCGTCGGAGATGTAGATACAATCGACGCAATTATCTTCACCATCCCCATGTGTGCCGTCACTATCCAGACCTACCACATGGGCCGCATCCTGCTTTTGAGCAATATGCCGCAGGAATCCACGGCTATTCGGTCAACCGTAACGGCAAGGCTGCGCCATTATCGCCAGATCGCCGGGTTGGTGGTGCATCATGCGCGGGAGATCTGTGGGATTAGTCTGGCTGGATTGCCGGATGCGATACTTTCGCATACCGTGCAGCCATTGTTCGTGGCGGGACAGTGCTTCGAGGGAGACGAGGAGAGGCGATTAGTAGTTGATCTGTTGCGACGTGTGGAGAGTGATACTGGATGGGCGACAGAGTATCGGGTGAAGGAGTTGCAGAAGCAATGGGCGGATGGGGGTTTGCGGTGTGGGAGATAGCCAGACCATTCCAATTGTAGTTTTGAATGCACTTGCGGTGTATCTTAGATAGTATGGACATTGTGATTTGGCAGAAACGCAAATGTGATGCATCTGATGCAATTGGGCCCTGCAGACATGATTCGACGCAGATAGCCAGATTATCATCACCGCATCCTATAGTACAGATAGTGGGGTGACCCTCCCACAATGAAGAAATTTTCCCGAGACAAGTCTAGACCCAGTTTCTATTCACTCCACTACGCTTCTTCCCGCGCCCCTCAACTCACAGGGCAGACAGATAATACCCGATGAAGTGGATCCAAGCATTTAATCACGAGGAAATCTTCCCGAGAGTAATCTTTCCGAGCCGCCGATTCTCGCCTATCGCGGTTTATCATGCTGACTGCCTTGGTAGATCACGACGCCTACAGATTTTTAGGGCCCACGAAGACGGTATAAATGAGGGAAAAGGATCTGGAAAATATTCTTCTAGTCAATAGATACTTCTGGACTCCCTTTGGCCTTGAGCTAAACATGGCGCTGATACCAGGGCTATCTCGCTATGTCTGGGCTAGTATTCTATGCTCCATGGGGGGCTTTCTTTTCGGGTATGTATATCATGCGCTTGTCGCAAAATGTAGCTTCACAGCTTCACCACTAATCTGCTAACCATCTAACAATGCAGGATGGACACCGGTATCATCGGATCTGTGGTAGTAATGGACCAATTCAAGCAGAAATTCGGCTCCTTCTCATCCATCGTTCATGGTCTAGTGGTCTCCTCCATTCTGATCCCCGCGGCATTTTCGTCGTTCTTCGGAGGAAAGCTAGCCGACTGGATCGGACGACCTAAGAGCATCGCAATCGGTGCCCTTATCTTCGGCATCGGATGTGCCTTTGAAGCTGGTGCAGTGCATCTGGCCATGTTCATCGTTGGCCGAGTCGTCGAGGGTCTCGGCGAGGGTCTATACCTGGGGACCCTGGTAGTGTACGCCCCCATCTTTTTCTCTCCATTACCCAGCCAAATATCTAATAAGTAAAAAAAGATACATCTGCGAAATCTCCCCACCAAGCCAACGAGGCCCACTAACCACCGGCCCTCAACTCCTCGTGACAATGGGCCTCGTAGTCGGCTTCTTCACCTGCTACGGCTGCGAGAAGATGCCTTCATCCATGGCGTGGCGAACACCATTTACCGTCCTGGCCTGCATTTCCATCGTCTTCAGTGTCGCTGCGCTCTTATGGCTAATTGATTCTCCGCGATGGCTCACGCTCCACAACCGCATCGATGACGCCACTCGCGCTTGGGAGTATCTGCAAGTAAGCGAGGCCGATCGCGAGGAACTCCTTGAAGAGGAAGAGGAAGTCGACGTTCATGAAGAGGCGTTGACGCATCCGCTGGCCCCGACGGGGAGTGTCCTTGCGCCGAATACCCTCGATCAGGTGGTTTCGCGACATAGTCGTGTATCTACCCGTCGGACGAAGGGTAAGGGGATGGAGGAAGCCTCGCTGTTCGATGCATTCAAGCCAGATGTGCGCAATCGGACGCTCCTGGGCTTGTTTCTCATGGGTATGCAGCAGATGGCTGGGATTGATGGGGTGTTATACGTACGTTCCACCCTTCCTATATGCTATCATGATCATCAATTAACATGCAGAAGTACGCCCCCCATGCTCTTCGAACAAGCCGGCATGACCTCCTCCCAAGCCAGCTTCCTCGCCTCCGGCGTCTCCGGCCTCGTCATCTTCGTGGTGACAATCCCGGGCCTCATCTACGCTGACTCCTGGAGCCGCCGCGCCAACGTCATCCTCGGCGGTCTGGGGCTCACCATCACCATGTTCGTGATCGGGTCGTTGTACGCTGCCGATGCCGTGCACCATTCCACCGGCGCAGGTCGCTGGGTCGTCATCGTCGCGATTTATCTCTTCGCTGCTATCTATAGTGTCTCGTGGGGTGTGAGTTGTAAGGTCTACGCCGCGGAGATCCAGCCCCAGCGGACGAGAGCGAGCGCGACGTGTCTGGCGCATGGGAGTAACTGGGTGTCGAATTTCTTTGTTGCGTTGATTACGCCCGTCCTGCTGGCAAGGAGTAGTTGCGCGGCGTACTTTTTGTTTGGGGGCTGTACGGCGCTGACGATTGTTGTTTGCGGGTTTTATATGCCCGAGACGAAGGGACGGTCGTTGGAGGAGGTGGAGAGGTGTTTTGTTAGGGGGAAGGAGGATTCATAGATTCGCTGGGTGGAGTGGGGTTGGTGGCAACGAGTTATGATAGATGATAGATGATAGATGATAGATGATAGATGATAGATGATAGATGATAGATATGTCAATAGAATGATAGAGCTCGGTCTGATGACAATGATGTCTCCCTTATTGTCTGATCATGAATATCGAAGGGTTATGATGCTAGTGCTTCACCTTTGTCCGATGGCCTGGCCATCATGCTTTATCCGCAAAAAGTCAAAACAATCTTCCATTATGAATAACTAATTATTATTACATCATCTCATATAGTACATATACGCAGTTACTAATTCACAGTAGCTTTCGCATAGATTTCCCGCGTATGCTCCCACACTTTCTTACCCACTCCACTACCCAGATATCCCTTAACCAACTCTGACTTGGCCTTAACAATAGAACTATCATAATCCACCCTATACGCACCACTTCCCTTCGCGCCATCAGCACCCACCGTATCTACGCCCTTAACCCGTGGCGCGAACAACGGACTCGTAGCCGCATACGCATGCCTTTCTCCCGACTCCTTCACAGAAATGAGCCCGATCGACGATAAAAGAGGCGTCAACATAAAGAGAGCATTAGTGAGTCCCCTGACAAGCGGGTTGAAATCTCGCGTGACGTTCGTGTTCACGGCGCCAGGACGGCTATGAACCCAACTAATGTTCGGATGTGCCGCGGCAAGTTGCGCCATGAAGAGAGATGTCATGGTGCAGCCATGAGCAGCTGCATTCGAGAGACTATAGTTGCTCCGGAGGTCGAGGTCGTCTTCGATGAGTTTGCCTTCGTTTCCTGGGCTGAAGACGGAGACTACGCGGGCTAGGCGGTCTGATGAGGCGGCCTGGTTTAGGAGTGGGAGGAGGTTGTCGGCGAAGCGCATCCGGGCGTAGTAGTGGAGGCTGAGTTTGCGGTCGAGGCCTTCGGTTGTTTCTATTTCATGTTGAGTTGGGGTGAAGGGATGGGTGAAAGGGGGTATGTACTCACCAGTCCTTCCCTGAGTGGTTAAAATACCCGCGCTCAGAAAGAGAAGGTTTACTTTTGACTCCTTTTGAGCGATCTCGCGACATGTTGTGTCGACGTTCTTGAGTAGAGATACATCACTCTTGATGAAGTCAACTGTTGCGGATTGGTTGACGGCACGTAGTTCTGAGATGATCTCCGATGCCTGAGCTTCGTTGCGTCCAATCAAGTAGATGTGAGGAGCTGTCGCGTAACGAGTGAATTCCCTCGCTGTTGATAGACCGATTCCGCTAGTTCCGCCCACTACTTATTGTTAGTTGGCGTCTAAGATAGAAAAGCCATGCACATACCGAACACAGCAACCAGACCTGAACCCAGGTTCTTGATATTGGGTAGCTGCCCGCGGACCTCTGAAATGGCAACCATGTTCTCAGTTATTTGTCGGGGATGTGTCAAAATTAGTATTGTTATTCGCGAGAGGACTGCTTTGCTACTCAATCTGCTGAATGTGATGAAATCTTAAGCCATCAGTTCAGTTGACTTTGTCGCGTTAAATAGCTGGGTAGAAGATGCTTGTGGCTAACGTCAGCCACGGCCCGGCTGACCAGATCCGGCAGATGGCCGAAGTCAGCCACTGCGGAACCCTCACTATATTTGCTGTCATCCTGGAAAGGATCGTACACTTTCCATGTTCAGCACTTTACTTCTGCTGTCTAGTTCTGCTGGTATTAGGCAGTTGATCATCATGTCGAGGCTCACCCAGCGAGGTCCACGCTATCAGCTCAATATGTATTCCGTCGACAGACTTGCCGAACATCCGTTATCGGCCCTTTCAGTACTACTAGCACTTTATGTTTCAGCACAACGCAAGAGATGAAATACTACTACAATTAATACAATGGACCAAGCAACGTGGTCTAGCAACAGCCACAACTATCATGATGTTGTGCATTGATTGCCAAGTAACCTTAATCCTGAGCATGTCTGTACAAGGGTGTCACAACAGCATCAATTTCGGCTGAAAATGGTAGTTTATCAAGCTCATCGCAAGCGGGAGGAACTTATCATACGATAAGTCGGCTTGGCATGAGGGGTGGTCCGCACAATCGGCCGAGGTGCGAGTGTAGATGGCATATAAATCCCGAGAGCTCCCTGCATGCAAATCCCGGACATCCTCACAGTTCCAACATTCCGAGTTCCTACAACCCCGCTATGTCTTCTCGAGTACGCGTCGCAGTTACCCAGGCAGAGCCTGTCTGGCTAGACTTGGAAGCGACCGTGATAAAGACGTGTGGCCTTATTGCGGATGCAGCTGCACATGGCGCGCAGTTGGTGACTTTCCCCGAGTGTTGGATCCCGGGATATCCTGCCTGGATTTGGTGGGTACAACTGCACCGTGTGGCACGAATCATAAAGACTAACAAATGACTATCGGCCTGCAAAGGACACGGCCTGTTGACATGCGCCTGTCATCTACTTATATACAAAACTCCCTGAAGATACATTCCCCGCAGATGGCCAGCATCCAGAAATGTGCAGCGGAGAACAAAATAGTCGTTGTTTTGGGCTTTTCCGAGAATCTGCACAACTCCCTGTATATCTCGCAGGCTATTATTGGAAGTGATGGAAAAATCCTCACCACCCGCAAGAAAATCAAGCCGACTCACATGGAGCGGACGATTTTTGGGGACTCATTTGGAGACTGTCTGCAGAGTGTAGTTGACACGTCAGCCGGTCGCGTCGGTGCTCTATCCTGCTGGGAGCACATCCAGCCTCTGCTGAAATACCACACTTATGCCCAGAGGGAACAGATTCATATTGCCGCGTGGCCGCCTTTGTTCCCTCACAGCGAAGACGGTTCATTGTTTTCGATGTCCAGCGAGGGTATGGATGCCAACTGGACGAGGTACACAGATGGAATGCTAACAAGTCTCCTCTCAGGTACCAGTTCCATTGCGAGGACATATGCTATCGAAAGCCAGTCTTTTGTTCTTCATACTACAACAATCATAGGCAAATCTGGCATTGACCGAATGGCAACAGATGGTGGTGCTCTGATGGGCACCCCTGGCGGAGGCTGCTCCGCTATCTTCGGGCCCGACGGCCGCCAATTATCGCAGCTTATTCCCAGCACAGAAGAGGGCATTCTTTACGCCGACCTCGACTTGGATCAGATTTACCACTCCAAAGCCTTTGTAGACGTCTGTGGACACTATAGCCGACCGGACCTTTTGTGGCTGGGTGTGGAGGGCAGTGTTAAGCGCCATGTAAGGGAAAATGCAGCTACTGTGGCAGGAGAAGCGGAGCCGCAGGAGCAATAGAAATTCAAGTGTCAGAACGTCTCTGAGGATTATGATATTTTGATTCTCTGCACTGCTAGACAGCAAAATCCTGGGTAGCTGAGAGCAAGCCGGAAACACACTCTTAATGCCCGTTCTGCACCGGTAAATAACGAAAGTTCAAGCACTCATGACGTATCGCATATAAGGAATAAATGCTGAAAATCAGTATGAGACTTGCACCGTTCGTGGCAGCCACTTCTGATTGGTAGTAATGATTACTATAGGTAATGTTTCTTATCTTTTACTTCCATCAGAAGGCCAGCGTTCTGAGACCTATGGTCATTGATCTAACAAGATCAGTTATATGACAAAGGGTTAGCAGGCAAGGGGTGAGCCCATGCTTAATGGGAACCTAGTTAGCTGCTTGCAATTCGGAAGGACTGAATTCAATACAATCAAACTTTGCGGTTGTAATTACTACTGACCGGCATCCGATGGGACGTCTCTGATTCGTTGAGTAAATGATACGGCTGCAACTAAGGTAGTCACGAACAAGGATCTCAGCCTTGTAGTGCACTGATGAGGCGCTCAGCCTTGCTGGTCTCTTCTTAAAGCTCTTGCTTACCGCCACCCTGCCACTGAGGTCTCACCTCCATCAATAACTTTCTGTACTGACGTCTTAGAATGCCATCAGCGACAACATCCCGCATACGAACCACTATATGATGAACACGACGACCCCGATATATCATCGAGTATTACAGAAGCCGCGACAAGGCAAGATCTTGAAGAGCACGAAGATTTGGGGTTACATGCCGTATCGCCTTCTTCGAACACGCTAGACGAGAATGAAGAGTCAAACTACGATACGACCTCACACTCCCCTACATTAGGAGAGCCTTCCAACTACAAAGACGAGAAGTCAAATGGCCCTGATTTAGTCTCAGTCAGGCGCTATCCATCTAGCTGGTTTGGCTGGGAACTTACAGGCATCATTGTTTCAGCGGGCCTCCTAGCTGCGATAATCATCATCCTGAAGGTTTACGACCATCAACCTCAACCTAAATAGTGGCACATCTCCCTGAACTCGGTCATCTCTTTTCTCAGTACTCTTTCTAGAGCTAGTCTTATGTTTTCTGTCGGGGAGTTGATAGGACCCCCTAAGTGGGTATGGTTTGCTCAGCGGGAGCAACCTTGGTTACATCTCCAGTCTTTTGACTCAGCCAGCCGGGGTGCTTTGAGGAGCCTAACATTATATGGTCACGAATATCCTCCACGATAATGATCTGCGTGGCATCTAACTTTTTGCTAGCATCGGCTGCAAGCTCTAGCTTGCCCGTGCATAAGATTCTATGCCTGCTATGAATACTGCGTGAATAACAAACGGGTCATTCAAAAACTTGCGTTCAATGAAAGGTAAATTGGTAGATGCAGACATGATAGGCGCTTCTTTATTCCCGATATACAAGTGATAACGAGCGAGCGAAGCAATACCGCCGAGGCCCGTGATCAGCGGCAAGCCACAGGTTCGAGGTTCGATGGGAGAATCACTGTGCTTTTACAGACTTTACAGGCCACTGTACACAAATTAACAATTGAGTGTAACAGAAACTCGCCTCAGGAACATGACAATTGCATTCATCTCAAACTGTCTATCGAAGCTGGTTTCTTACGTTTTGGTGACCTGCTCTTGTTGGTGGTGATATAGCAGACTTACAGGAGGAGAAAAAGAAGTGCGCGGGACTGCTGAACTGCTTACCACAACTCGGCTCTTGGAGACAACTTTATTCATGATAAACTGTCAAATAGGCTTCAGAAGTATCAAGAATCATGCAAACTGACTCACTGGTTGGAATCATTTATTTAAGCAGATTGAACCAGATTACAATATCATCTAATTATACATATATATTTTCCACTGTATTCTAACAGTGCCATGTAGATAAACCAACCAGTAATTTCAACTATTCCTCTACGTCGGGGACTTGGACCCCAATATAAAGAAATCAACCAACCTATATATCCTTCCGCGCATGCCGACTATATCTCTTCCTCAACGTCTCCCCGTACTACATACCACATCAATTAGCCCGAACCCCACACCTCCCCATGAAAAGGGCAAGAAAACTCACCTTCATCAACACAACCGGGATGGGAATAAACGCACAGCCCAAAAACGCCAACGTCGAGCTCGCCCAATCCACCCCCAGGTTCTTATACATCGCCGTCGCGAACAGCGGAAACCCGGCACCAAACGCACTCCGAAACAAATCATTCCCAGCGAGCACACTAGCCGCATACTCTGGGTACGCATCGGAGAGGTAGTTGAGCACGGGGTTGAAAAGTAGGAACGCACCGACGGAGAAGAATCCACTGCCCACAATCGGCATGATCCAATGAATAGAGGGTCGGGCACTCCATCCAAACCAGAAAAGACAAATAGGGATGAAGAACCCGCCTACAATAGCGGGTGGGAGACGCGCCTCCGGGGGAACGTTGCCTGTTTCGGGGTCGAATTTCGGTTCGAGGTATTTGTGCATCCACCAGTAATATGGGGGGATTGTTATCAGGGCGCCGGTTAGAATGCCGATGTATGCTAGACCTTGTTGCCCGAGGTTGAAGCCGTAGATACCTGCGAAGACGATGTTGAAGGATTCGAACCATACGTAGAGGAGACCGTAGATTAGGGCGATGTATAGGTTCAGGAGGAAGACCATGGGCTCGGTGAAGTTGAGCGTGAAGGGCCGGACGAGCGTCATCATGACGAGTTCGCGGGCTGTGAGATGTTCGCTGGCCAGTTCGGGTTCGCTGCGCAAGTTGGACCGGTTGGTCAGTTTGCGGAGTCGGCGGGCGCGTCGGTACAGGATGTTGCTGGAGGAGGTCTCTGGAAGGAAGATTATTAGTACGACTAGTGTAAATCCTGATAGCCACATTAGTTCCCAGATCGTCCAGCGCCAGCCTTTGGCTTGGGCGGCGAATCCGCCAACTAGGGGACCGAGCACGGGGCCGCAGATGGCGCTGATACCCCAGATGCCGATGCCGTAGGCGCGTTTGCGAGGGGCGAACATGTCGGAGAGGGTGGCGCCGCCCTGGATACTGTTAGTGCAGGACAGTTGAAGGAGGGGGGGGGAGAGGGGTACTGTTGCGAGAGCAGGCGAGCCAAAGAAGCCAGTCAGGAAGCGAAAGGCTAGTAGTGTGCCGAGGTTTCCGGCCAATGCGACTGGGACTTGCAGGGCTACAAACACGATTAGTGTCGCGATGTAGACGGAGTTGCGCCCGATCTGGGGCACCTCGCTCATGGGTGACCATAACAGCGGACCCAGTCCGTAGCCAGCCACGAACAGGGTCAGTCCCAATGTGGCCGCGACTTGGCTGATTTGGAACTCGGACATGACTGATTCGACACCGGCGCTGTAGATGGCGCTGCCGATGTACACGCTGAAGGTGAGGAGGCAAATCTCGAAGGTCACCACGACTTTCTTCCATAGCGGCCAGTGTTGGGGGTTCTGATGAGTTAGCTTTCGCTCAGCATAGAACAGCATATGCCTACCTCCGGGTCACGATCACTCCACCAGTCGACGATGGTCACGTCGCGTCCCTTCTCTGGGTCGATGACGGCCCCAGTGATGCCTTGATACCGACGGCCATTATGCGACCATGCCGTGGAGGGCACCCTTGTCATGGACTCGGTGTCGGCAGCGCTGAAGCGCTCAGGCAGTTCCTCATCGGCATCGGGACGACCAGCGTAAGCCATGCGGCCCGATTTGTTGAGGTTGACGTACTGCTGCCATAGCGAGGGGTCTTTTTGCTCCTCGAACCGGAAGTACCGGCCGCGCGAGACGAGGCGGATAAATTGGCCGAGGATGGAATCTTGGATGAGGCAGGACATTCTACCTATACTATTTTCTATCGACGGATTTTACAGAGCTATGGCCTACTGGGATGAATTTTATAGGTGTGAACCCTGCTCGGTAACTGGTTTGGTTCCTGAATCAAACAAGCAAGATGGATGATGTAGCCATGATCACACTCGCCACCGGTAGCCAGCCAGACTCAATTCTGGTCTCGATGCTGCAATCGTAAACTCAGATCAATCAAATAGGTCTGGAACATTTCACTATTTGAATAATAATCGTCAATTACTTGTCAAATCCCCATGTTATCATTCTTCTGATGATAGAATGTGGACGGAGGAAATATTATGATGCTGATCCCAAGGGTCTTACCCGCAGGTGGGGTAGGGTTAGGTTAGGCTGGAATCCCAGTGCCAGTGGGATAGTAAGAGATATCCCATTACTAAATCGCAGCTCTGGAACCCGACGATCTTTTACCAAAAACTCCTTGCGACCGAGGCAATTGGCGCTGCACCCCGGATTGAGAGACAGCTGATCGATCGTGCCCAGCAACGTCATGTATCCCCCACCCATCGGCTTTGACCGACCAGCAGGATGAGCCAACCACCATCATGTTTGCTTTCTTAGTGCCCTATTAGTGTTGATTAGACCCTGCGCGAGGGACCCCTTGGCTGAACCCCCCGCATGACCCCAAAACTCACGCCGCGTGGCTCCCACCGAACATTCATCTCATTTCCCCAGGAAGCCATATCCCGTGCCTGCCAGCGCTGAATCCATCTCCGGTCTCCCGCCTGCCAAGCCTACCCCGAAGCCTTTCACTCGCATCTCGACGGCCTGCTTCCGTGAGTCCTGAGCGGAAGTTGACCGAGCCTCGTCCCCAGATTGTCGGTCTGTCCCACCATGACTCTCAGGACCGGGTCTTGGGGGTGGCACAAAGAGGCTCGATCCCCGGATTGTCCCCCGCAGCCAAGCCGCTCCATCCCACAATAAACCCAGCGCGTTGTCGGATCTTTGTTTCTTTCCAACTCGCCAAGCTGTCCAGCATGTCAAGCGGTGATAAGCTCGTCGCGACAAGTCGGATTCCAACGTGGGATGTCTCTCTGGTGGATATCGTTCCCTGCGCGGTCCATTGGCTGCTCTACCCCCGATTCTTCCCCGCATGATCACATTCGTCGTAGTGAATTCCCTCCCCGGCTGGTTTGTCCTACCTCACCATGAATAGGTGCCGTTCCGACTGGCTGTCGATAACCGACGTCGTCCTGATGGGGGTGACTCCTATAAATGCCCCTCCTCCCTTGCAGAGGCCAGCTGGTTAAAAAAATCCGTTGTGGCTCGTCCAACCTTTCTCCTGTTGACTGTGTGCAATCATGGCGGGTTCGAAGAAACCAGTTAACATTTTTCGTTTGCGCAATCTCGCTGACCCCAAGGAGGTCTTCAACTGGAGACTATGGTTTGCCGTACTCTCCTTTGGCCTCATGGGCGCTGCTCGTGGTGTCGATGAGGGGTTGATTTCGGGTGCTTTCAACTCCAAGGACTTTCAGCGCACTATTCATCTGGACTCGTACAGTGAGGTGGAACAGACTAACATCAAGGCGAATGTGTCTGCCATGGTGCAGATTGGTTCTGTGGGAGGGGCACTCTTGTACGCCATTTACCAATATAATCCGTCAACTCAGTCTGCTGACACTGTTCTAGTGCATTCCTTGTGTGCGACCGTATTGGACGGCTGTGGGCAACTCGCCAGCTGTGTATCCTTTGGATTCTGGGAATTGCCATCTTCATGGGTGTTGGTGCCAACGGTAGCTTGGGTGCTGTTTACGCCGGTCGCTTCGTGGCCGGACTGGGGGTGGGCCAGACTGTAGTTGTAGGACCAGTCTACCTGGCTGAGATCGTGAGTGACACATCTTATTCTCTGTCGAACTGAATTGACCAGTAATAGGCCCCTGCATCGGTCCGCGGTCTCTGCACTTGTGTTTTTACCGGCTTTGTCTACCTGGGGATTGTGCTCGCCTACTTCACCAACTATGGCTGCCAATTGCACATGGGCGACCACACCCACAAGCGATGGGTAAGACATGATTCACCTTATGCATAGCAGGTTACTGACCCTGCGTAGGAAGTCCCAACCAGTCTTCACATTATGTTCGCTGGTCTCATCTTCCTCCTCTCTTTCGTTCAGTACGAATCGCCTCGCTTCCTTGTCAAGAAAGGCAAGCCCGAAGAAGCGTTGAACAACCTCGCACGCCTCCGCAACCTCCCTCCGGACCATGAATACGTTGTGGAGGAGTTTACAGGTATCCAGAATGCCCACCAAGCGGAAATGGAGGCTACCATGGGTGCTGGCTGGTTAGGTATTGTCAAGGAGGCCATCATGGTCCCGAGCAACTTGTACCGGCTGTACCTCGCCGCCATGGCACAGCTACTCTCCCAATGGTCCGGAGCGGGATCTATCACGCTGTACGCACCAGATCTGTTCAGTCTCCTTGGCATCACGGGTTCCAACGAGTCCCTGCTAGTGACAGCAGTGTTCGGTATCGTCAAGCTGACTGCGGCGGTAATCTGCGCTCTGTTCCTGGTGGATGTGATTGGTCGCAAACGTGCCCTACTCCTAGGTATCACGTTGCAAGCTATATCCATGATCTACGTCGCTAGCTTCCTAACTTCTGTGCCGGAAATGGGCATCGTTGACGACTTTGTCCTGCCGGAGTCTAAGAGAGGTACTAGTCGCGGAGCCATTGCTATGATCTACATCTCCGGTGTAGGCTGGGCATTGGGTTGGAACTCCATGCAGTACCTGCTGACAGCGGAGCTGTTCCCACTACGCATCCGCGCATTGGCTACCTCTGCTGCCATGACACTGCATTTTGTCAATCAGTATGGTAACTCCCGAGCGGTGCCAAATATGTTGCTGGGTACTGCGGAAGGTGGCATCACGCCCAAGGGCACGTTCTGGTTCTTCTCAGCTGTGACGGTGCTGGGTGGACTGTGGGTGTGGTTCAGTGTGCCTGAGACAGCAGGACGAAGCTTGGAGAGTATGGACGGGTTGTTTGCATTACCGTGGTATCAAATCGGACGGCATGGCAACCGTGATGCCGACCAGCAGGACCAGGTGGTGGCGGATAAACAACAGCAGGTGGAGGATGGATTTGGAGGGGCGGAGCATCGCGAGCGGGTGTAACTTCTTCTTGATAAGTTACTTAGCTAGGAGCTTGATCTACATGAAATGACTGCAATTGAAGAAGCAGATTGACCAGGTGGATACCCTGTAATGAAAGCAATAGCTGACCGCTTGTGCATCCCCACGTGCATCTCAGCCCGCCAACTGGTGTGTCGGAGAGCTCCGATGTTATCTATGATTGGCTGGCAGCCCCGCTGGCCCGGTCAGATGACAAGCACTGTGTCATCCCTATCTCAACTGTTCAGCTTCTTCTGCTCCCTCCTTGCATGGTTATTTTCCTTTCTTATTTACTCTGTTACATTCTCATTCACTCATTGACAGTCTTTAAATATCTTGTCGATCCCCCCTCGTTCGTGGTTGTGCCATTGACTCCCTCACCGCCGATCCCAAAGGACAGCTTCCATCTTTAAGCTTCCCCTCACGATGACTACCCGCTATCGTGTTGAATGTAAGTTGATGATCCTTTTGATTTCCATTGACTCATCTAATTACTCTCTTAGATGCTCTCAAGGTAGGCAGTCATCTCTGCCGCCAGTTCATGCTAACTCGCTCAGTCTCACCGTCGAGACCAATTGGTATGCCCCCATTCCTAGTAGCAATTAGACGTGGATAGCTAACAAGTTCCTTAGATTGAATGGATCAAAGTACGACTCCTGCCGCCATTAATTCAAATACCTCAATACTGAACAATGTAGGGCCTTCTGGCCGTCCCCTTTGTGCTGCACTCGCAGCCCACCGCCGTCTACAAGGAACACAGTGAGAACCTGATCGCCGTAGCGGCCGACACGCACCAGCGCTATGCGGAGATCTTCCGCGACGTGGAGATGCTCATCCGCGACCACAGTAGCCCTCTCATTCTTTCCTTATACACGAACAAACACAGCTGACAAACGCAGTAACCCACCAAGATGACGACGCCCCAGGGAAATCCAAACTCAAACTCCTAGTCCCCACCGTAGGCACCTTCTTCACTCCCTTATACCTGGTCGACGCCTTCCGCCACCAAGACGCCCAACGCTTCATCAGCCGACGACGCTTCGTGGCCCCTTCTTTCAACGACATCCGTCTCATCCTCAACTCAGCCCAACTCCTCGGTCTGGCCCGTACCACCGGTGTCGACCTCGTCACCTTCGACGGAGATGTCACGCTCTACGACGACGGCGCCTGTCTCACGGACGACAATCCCGTGATTCTGCGCATCATGCGGCTCCTCCTGCAAGGACAGAAAGTCGGTATCGTCACCGCGGCGGGCTACACCGACTCGGCGAAGTACTACGAGCGACTCAAGGGACTGCTCGATGCGATGTACCAATCGACCGAGATGACGGATGCTCAGCGCGCCGGACTGGTGGTCATGGGCGGAGAGAGTAACTTTCTTTTCCGGTATGACCATGCCTCCCCCTCGAAGTTGAGTTATGTGCCCCGTGAAGAATGGTTATTGGAGGAGATGAAGACGTGGCAGGAGGGGGATATCACGCAGCTGTTGGATATTGCCGAGTCATCGTTGCGCGCGTGTGCGAGTAATTTGAATCTGCCGGTCGCGGTGTTGCGCAAGGATCGCGCGGTCGGGGTGTATCCTACGGAGAGAGGGCGGATTAGTCGCGAGCAGTTGGAGGAGACGGTGTTGGTGGTACAGAATACCGTCGAGCGGTCGGAAGTGGGGGCTAGATTGCCCTTTTGTGCTTTTAACGGTATACTTTCCCCCTCTACTTTTTATGTAGGTGATGGTTATGCTGACTTCTATTTAGGCGGCAATGATGTGTTTGTGGATATTGGTGACAAGTCATGGGGTGTGCGCGCGTGTCAGCGCTACTTTGGGGGGATTGAGCCGGCGCGGACACTGCATGTTGGCGATCAGTTCTTGTCGGCGGGAGCGAATGATTTCAAGGTAATCCCATCCCAATCCTTATAAGGAAAGTAAGGTGGAGATGCTAATAATGACAGGCCCGACTGGCATCGACGACAGCATGGATCGCAAGTCCCGCCGAGACAGTGCAGCTCCTGGACGAGCTGCAAGGGTTAACGTAATCCACGGTCGCGCGGGCCACCCTCCCAGTAGGATTGCCCGATATGATCAAAATGAAGTCTTTAAATCAACACAAATACTTATAAAAAAGCTATCTAACTAATTACTAGGTGGTTTAGAACACTGCATATGTCAGTAGCTAATATTAAAATAATTAGTCCACCGTGGAGACCCGCACAAGGGAGTCTTTATAAATTAAGAGTAAGATTAAATCTTAGTATTTTTATTATTTCATATCTTTTTTTCTTATTATACAGTACTCTGAGTCTCTTTAATAGTAGTATTTTTTATATAAACTACCTACTTCTTCAAGCACTTCTTTTTTATAGCTATCTTTCATAGCTAGTATATAAATTCTTATTCTCCTTGTGTGTGATAAGATCTACTTGTCAGGGTAGAAAGCCTGTCGACTAGGTAAGGAGTCAACCACTAAACACCATAGATTCGTCTAGTAATGACAAAGGTGTCTAGCAGCAGGAACCGGTGTCTCATAGGCGCCGAAGGAATGCAGATCCGCTGTCAATGATCTCACAACTTCCATAGCCACTATAATACGTCGTCCTGGGGATCCCGACCATGATACTCTAGTTATTCTATCACAAATGATGCCCCTCTCGCTGGGCCGAGCCATCTGGCTCGGGTGTTAGGGATAACCTCATGTGTTCCCAGTCAGGAACAGCGGGGAACCGGTAGCAAAAGATAGGGACCTCGCGGGGTACACAGCAGAGATAGGATCACGTGCCGTTTCTATATAGCTTCACGAGTATTCAGTTATGTTTGCATTGGTGGATCCACTGAGAGGAAGTGTAAACAAAAGAATCTCTCGTGTTATTCCTCTTCCTCTTTCCTTTCTACTTCGTGGTCGTCGTCCCTTTAGTGTTGTGTTGTCGTTTCGTTCGTTCTTCGCGGTTGTTTTGTGCGTTCTTCATCGTTTCCCTTGCTATCTAGGAACAAGATCGCGGCTTTATTCAGTCTCGTACTAGTGGACTTCGGCTACTACGGGCTTGTGAGCATACTCATAGGGACTCTCACAGCCGCGGAGGTGTCTCTAGTTGCGCATTGGCTTGGGATTAAAATTATTTCACTTAGCTGGGTACACAGGGCCTAACTAGTGATACCAACAGGGTGAATTCAAACACTTTATTACCAGTAAAGTTTAATCACAAGGTGGGTACAGTAAATATATTATGTCAATGTGCGGCTGGAACGCTGCAGCCCTGACCTATGGCACTAATCGCAGATGCATAACCATTCAGCAGAGCCTGTGACACCAGGAAACTGCGTGTAGCTAGACCAGCTAGTTTCCAGCGATCTGATTGCCGGAGACTGAAGGGTATGAGGGCAAGCACCGCACCTCCAACGTTTCTTCCTTCTCTCTCTTCTCTCCATTCACAGTATTCGCTGTGGAACGCACTTATTCCCGAAGAATAGGCTCTTGTCACTGAGCCCATCAGAAGAAACATAAAAGAATTACTCCTTAAAACTCTCATTTTTTGAATTGATTAATCTTCTCTTCTACAATCTCCGCTTTTCGGAACAACTTTCTATCTAAATTGAAAGTGGAGAAGGACGAAAAGCTCACATGAGCTTGTGGAAAGAATGCTCTTGTGAGAAACAAGGAGGAGAAGAGCCATTGGACTCCTTGTGCTTTTAGGTCGCTTTACCTACGGTACAGTAACGGTATGTGCTGAGACGGCTATTTTCGGCCCTATCGGCGCAGGCTTCGATCCCAAGGATGCCTCGCAACCGTATCGTTGCTATGCTAAGCCTTATTGGGGCTCGGGTCCTTTTGAGTATGTTGTAGGACGTGCCAGAATGCGCGCCAAGTAAGTCAGCCACCAAATGTTATCATGAAGTAGCTCCCCTACTTGTAGGTTGGGTTCTCTTGAAATTGAAACTGTGAATTTGTATTCGCGCAAAAATAGTTTGTACAAAGGGTTTCGCCCTTTTGAAAGTAGATTCTTGATGATAAGACAATGAAAGCACTGACTTCTAAATTTCTACTATTTTCTACATATCCAGCTTACTTGTTCAGGTATAGATTAATGCTTGTAATGTAAAAACATTTTTGTATTATGATGCAACTTCCTTTATACATAGATTTCTATAACTAAAGGACGGATACTCCGCCATATACTGCCAGTGTTTGGCCAGTAACATAAGAAGCCGTAATACTCAAAAGAAATATAATAGCACCAGCGAGCTCCTCAGGACGGCCGAGACGCTTCAGCGGATTCATATCAAGTATCTTGTGGAATAATTCTCTTGCCTTAACATCTGCATTATTACTAGTACTTAAATAGAGCAGCAGGGTCTTGATTACATCCAGTATAATATAATTATCTTACACATCCCTAGGCCTAAAATCTCTAGCCCAGGTGTAAATAAATCCAATCACTACATGCTTTACACTACCATAAGATAAATATCCATTTACTCCTACCAAGGACACAGTTGAGCTAATGATCACTATACTCAAGTTGATATGATTAACCGTATTAATAGTCTTAATTTACCGGAGAAGCTCTGTTCCCATATTCCATGCACCAATGAGATTTACATTAAAGTTAGTGGTAGTATTTTTGTTCTTGCCAATTAAGCCAGTAGATAATTATAAAATATCAGCGCAATTCATAAGTTCATTAACATGAGGGGTTTAGGCAAGGATCTTATTAAAGATTACTGTAACAGCCTCTCAGGAGAAGATGTTCACACCAGAGAAAATATAATATTCAACTTACTTAGGGATGATGGTATTATAATTCCGTGCCAATAGGGATTCCGAAATCAGCCAATGCCTGCACGTTATCCCCAGTAGCATTCTTAACGAGGTAGATCGCATCATCTGCGGTGCTTTTGGGAATATGGATATCCTTGGGGTTACCCATGACATTGTCGAAGTCGTGGAGGTATCCCTCGGGTGTGGATTGATTTGAACCTGGGAAAGTCGCCAGAGTGACTCGGGCTGCTCTGCCCGCGCCAACTGAGAAGATCTCACCAGAAATGGGACATTCGTCTGAGCTTAAGAGCGAAACAAAGGGAGCCACTTTGTGTGCTGGACAGTATTTTCGCATAAATTCGGCGATCCTAGGCTCGCTGGCCATACGACTCATTCCTGCCGGCATAAGGGCGTTGACTTTGATGCCAAACTGTGGGCCAAAGCGACCCATTTCCCGAGTCATAGCGAAGACCGCACCTTTGGAAGCCGAGTAGGCGCAATCGCCACCAGCCTCCATGCCCATGATAGCACTAGACGAGACATTGATGATCCGTCCATGCTTTTGCTTCTGCATAATCGGATATGCCGCGCTCACCATCATTACGGTGCCCACCGCCGAGACTTCCAAGACCCGCCGGAAATTGGCGACATCAACATCGTCATGCGGGCTGACTTTGCCCATAATGCCGGCGTTGTTGATCAGGATGTCGAGTCTGCCATATGCATCCACCGCTGATTGCACAATCTCTTTCGCGTCTGTGGACACATCGCTTCCGTTGGCTATAGCGGAGCCGCCTAATGCCTTGATCTCGTTCACAACACTCTGCGCTCGATTGATAGTCCCCGCATTTCCTTGAGCATCACCGCCGTAATCGTTGACAACCACTTTCGCGCCTGCCTTCGCTAACGCGAGTGCGTATTCCCGTCCTAGCCCGCCGCCTCCTCCGGTGACAATGGCAACGCGGTCCTTCAGGGTGATAGCCATGACTCTAGAAGTGGTCCACGTCGATATTGATTGACTTGCAAAATGATGAAAGTGGTTGTTCTTTCCGCAACTTGTTAGGTGTTTTTATGGAAGGGAAGTCAGAGCGGGGTAACCCCTGCGGTATTTAACCAGGTCTACTAGTTAGTTAGTTAGCTAGGTTAATGTAATCACCAATCGGACGGGCCACTCAATTGGGCGGGCCACCCGCCTGCTACAATTGCCCGATATAATCAGAATGAAGCCTTTCAGTCAACACAAATGCTTTCAAAAAAAGCTATCTAACTAATTACTAGATGGCTTAGAACACTGTATATATCAGCGACCAATATTAAAGTAATTACTGTCGGCTGCAGTTCACTTTCACCTTACTAATTGAATTCTTATCTACTCACTTGAAAACGATCTTTCCCATGAAAGCCCAGATCAATCACATGCCCCATACAAAATCATATTGAAATCCTAAGGCAAACAGAGCAGATTGGGCTCACTTCTTGCAAGTCCTGGTTTTCATTCTTTTATATGTGATTCTTATGTTATTCTGATTATTTGATCATAATTTCTTTGTTTCCTGATCAAATCAATGATTCATGACCCTGATCTAGATTCATTTACTATGAGCAGTGAATTGAAGATAGATAGGGCCTTTCACTTCCTGCCTAATTATGTTTGAAGCAAGCAAGTCATCCAATTCATTCACTCCCTATCTAAGGATTTATTCAGTTCCTATTTAGGAAGTCGGATTGCTTCCCTTTGACAGTTATTTATCTTTGTCTATCTTTATTATTTTGATATCTAGTTTCCTATTTAGGACTAGTATCACGTGACCCAGGTATATAATTATATAATTCTTATCTGACCATACCCTCTTGATCCAGTGATCAACATTAGGCCTAGTTCCACTAGACCGTCTACCCTTTTTAGCCTAGTGCCCCTGGGCCGCCCGACAGGTGGTATCTTCCTTAGATAGTTAAAAAGAAAAAGATTTAGAATATGATAGAATTTTTTTTATTAGGGTAGAAAGCCTGTTAACTAGCTAGATACGGAATTAACTATTGGATACTGTGAATTTTCTTATTTAATCAGCAACATACCAATAGTTAGTTGAGTTGTGCAGATCGGCATGGCGCTTATCAAGCAGCGGGAATGTCTGACAAACTTTCCACAGTATAAGAATCCACTAGCAGTAGCCACTACTACTCTAATCTACTTTAATCCTTTTATTTACATCCCACCACACCAACTACCTAAGAACTGGTATACCACCACAATGACCTCCCAACCTAACACAATAACAATCCCCATCATCGGCGCCTCCATCGCCGGCCTCACCATCGCCCACTCCCTCCTCTCGCACTTCTCCACAACCAACCATACTACCAACTCAACTACAAAAATAAAAATCCTCCTCATCAACCCCCACCCATCCTTCTACTGGGCCATCGCGGCCCCGCGCATCCTCACCAAACCAACTGCTTTCACAGAGTCACAATACCTCATCCCGATCGCCGATGGATTCGCCAAGTATTCTCCGGATGTATTCGAATTCATCCTAGGACGAGCGACATCGCTCGATTTCGAGAAAAAGTTACTAAATGTTGAGGAAGTCACCGACACTGAGAGTAATAAGACTCTGAGACAAGAAATCAAATATGATTATTTGGTTATCGCGTCGGGGAGTACACCATCGGCTTCTTCTACGGAAACATTATTCCCCGGTGAGGATAATAAAGATGGTGAAAATGGGGAGATATATCCCTTCAAACTATCCCCCACTTCTACCACTACCATCACGGAGGCGATTAAATCTGCCCAAACCACCATCTCCACCGCGAAAAAAATCACCGTCATCGGGGCAGGTCCCATCGGGGTAGAAATAGCAGGTGAATTGGGTGATCTCATCTCCTCCTCTCCCTCCGAAGAAGGAGAAGAAAAGAAAGTAATAACCCTCATCTCATCCACCCCACGCATTCTCCCCACATTGAAACCCTCCGCCAGCGAAACAGCCACATCCCTCCTTAGTAAAAAAGGCGTGCGAGTCCTCACAGATCGGAAAGTCATTTCTGTCTCTCCTAAGGAAGAGGGCGGGTATGAAATCAAACTCAACAACGGGGACACTCTGGAGACGGATATCTACATCCCGACTATCGGAGTCCTGCCTAATAGTTCTTATATACCCCGGGAAGTACTCGATGAGCGTGGTTGGGTGAGGGTTGATGAGGAGTTGAAGGTGTCCGGCGTGGAGGGGGTGTATGCGGCGGGGGATATTACCACTCATACGCAAAAGTTGTCGTTTAAGGCGGATGAGATGGCTGGGGTGGTGGTGGGGAATTTGGTGGATGATATTAATCATGCTACTGGTGCTGGGAATGGGAATGGGAGTAGGAAGAAGGGATGGCGGAGGGGATGTGGTGGTGGTGGTGGGAGGAAGACGTATGATGAAGGGACCGATGTGATGATGGTGGTTCCTGTGGGAACTTCTGGCGGTACAGGGCAGGCGTTTGGGTGGGTGTTGGTTAGTTTTATGGTGTGGTTGGCCAAGGGGAGGGATTATTTTATTTGGAAGGCTAAGGGGTATGTGTTCAAATAGACTGCCTTTACTGTGTACTAGCCATCATGTTATTGTACTGTACTTAATTCGGGATGCTCATAACCTTTCATCATCATAGCCTGACTCTATGTCTAGGCGTTTATCGCTGCTTTCTGCGCTAAACATTCTCGTAGCAACTCCACGTCGCATTGTTCACACTCGCCCGGCCAGACAGAATGTTCACCGTGTCCTGCAGCTCCAGCCAGAATTCCGTCTTGGGCCGACGGCGCGCCCAGTCCGTCTCGGTCGCTTCCAGTCCGTTCGCTCCTCCCATCGGCGAGAACAACACTTGCGAGCCCTTGATGCCAATGACCGACGCAGACAGCTCATCGGCCGCAATCTCATCCGCAGACTTGCCCGCATAGCTCTCCAGGTGCAGCATACACTTGGTGGCCATCCGCAGCGCCCGGATACGGTCCATCGGCGACGGCTTGCCACCCTGCTGGAAATGTCCCGGCACCGCCGCACGGCTCTCGAAGCGTCCCTTGGCCTCCTCCTTGATCATGTCGGCGACCACTTGCGTCGTGTACGTGCTGGACGCGCACTCGTTGCGCAGGATGATCTTACCCGCGCGGTTCGCTCCCTTGTCGCGCGCAAAGTTGTCACGCAGGAAGTCAATGTCGCGGGCCAGCATCTTGATGTCAATGCCCTCCTCGGGAATGTACACGGCCACTGCGCCCACGGACAGACCAGCCGTCGTGGCGATGTAACCCGACTTGCCACCCTGCGTCTCGATGACGAACACACGGCGACGAGAAGATGAGGCCGACTGGCGGATGGCGTCGCAGAAGTCGATGAGTGTGTTAAGGCAGGTGTCGCTACCCAGCGAGTATTCTGTGCCCGGCACGTTGTTGGAAATTGTTGCCGGCAGCACGGTCATGGGGATCTTGAACTCGGGGTACTTCTCGCGCGCCTGGCGAAGCTGGCTGACGGCCGTGAACGCCTCGAATCCACCCACCACGAACAGTGCATCAAAGCCAAACTTCTTGAAGCTCTTGGCTGTCGTCGCGAGGTCATCGCCGGGCAGACCACGGTTGGTACCGATATCTGAACCACCCTCATTGACCCAGCTGTCCGATTCCTGCCACGCTACCTCGCGCACAGAGCAGATGGGAGTGTCTTCATAGTGCCGGCAGAGACCGGGGAAACCGTTGTGAATAGCCAGGGGGGTGTGGCCGCGAGTCAGGCAGTAGGCAACGGCCGCGCGGGTAGCCTGGTTCATACCACCGGCGGGGGCGCCAACGTGAATAATACCGATGCGCATTCTCTGCGAGCTGTTAGCTCAGTACACAACGATTTCCAATGTGACATACCTTGTTCTCAGGGAGGAGCAGCTTCGGGTGGTCGGGCGTGGAGGTGTTAATGTATGAATAGTGGTACTCCTTGAATTCCGAATCGCGGAGGGCCATAGCTTCGGCGAACTCCTTGTTCTGGATGTGCTTGGTGACCGTCTTGGTGTGCTGCACAGCGTCCATCAACGGCATGCGCAGGATCTTGTTCTCGCGGATGGTGATGACCGGGGACGGGGCCCCGGGCTGCATGTCGAGCACCGCGCGGACAGCCTCAACACCCTGCAACGTGGACAGCCAGCGGTCGTAGGCACAGGCAGCACCACCTCTCTGAGTGTGACCCAACACAGTCACACGGGTATCCAGGTTCAACCGCTCCGTCAGAATATCCTTAATCTTTGAGCTCGAAATCTTGTTGAGATGGCGATCCTGGGCACCTTCGGCGACGATAACGATCGTCCTGCGCTTTCCACGCTCCTTTCTGTTCTGCAGGGAGTTAGCGATGCCTCTTAGAGAGCTCTTCACGAGTCTCCAATCAACCCACCTTGGTGATAATAGCACACATGTCATCCTCCCATCCGTCCTTGGGCGGCATTTCAGGCACGAACAGCCAGTCGGCACCGGTACTGATAGCGGACATCAAGGCCAGCCAACCGCAGTGACGACCCATGACCTCAATGACGAAGCCACGCTGGTGGGAAAAGGCAGTATCGAAGACATCGTCGACGGCGTCACAAATGCGAGTGAGGGAGGAGTAGCAACCAATGGTAGCGTCGGTGCCGGACATGTCGTTATCGATCGAACCCACCAACCCGACGATGTTCAGAATCTGGTATGGCTTGACCTGCTCTTCGGTCAATTCGCCCGTCTCGACCAATTCCTTCAACAGACCGGGCCACTCGGAACGGAATAGGTCGGCACCAGTCAAACTGCCATCACCACCACAGACGACGAGGGCGTCAATGCCACGCAAGACCATGTTCTTGGCCGCGCGCAGACGACCGGGGCGCTCACGGAAGGTCATGCAGCGGGCGGAACCGATCAAGGTACCACCGCGGGACAACCAGCCGCGGACATCCTCCCAGTGAAGCTGACGGATCATGTCGCCGCCATTGACGAGACCCTCGTAACCTTCGTAGACGGCGAAGGCTTCACAGTCGGAGTGGATGGCCATCCGGACGACAGCCCGGACGACACCGTTCATACCGGGAGCATCGCCACCAGAGGTCAAGACACCGATACGGCGTCTCTTGGGCGGTTGCACGGGAGCTTGAGGGGGAGCCATCGTGCGATGGGATTATGTGGGGGGAGGGTGTTCAGCAATTGTTCGGGGAAGAGCAACAGCTGAACAAGAAGGTTTTTAGAAAACAAAAGCTGGAGAAGAAAGAATGGAGTAATAATGGAGAGAAGAGGAGAGGCAAAGAGATAACTTGGGTGTTTGAAAGGGTGGGGGAGAAGAGCAGCGCAGGTGCCGGTGAGAAAAAGCGGGTGTGGGCAACCAGTACGTCACTGACTCCGGCCGTCACTGCCCCGCTATACAAATACCTTTATTATTTATTCCTTTGGTAACAAAAGTAAACTAACTGCCCACCACCGGGGGTGAAAAATTCCTTGGTCTGCAGGTGAATGGGCTAGATGCTGTTCGAATGCCGATCGGGCGGGTGACCTTGCTGCACGCTGCAATGGGCAGATGCTACTCCAGTAATAATAATAATTAATAGCAGGGAATGTTTCTTCTTTCAGTCTGCAAAACCACAACCTGATGTCACCGCCTCTGCTGGATCGGGACTAGTGCGATACAATTCACGTGATATATGGTTTAGGGCCCGTGCTGCACGTGATAGCTATACACGCTAGTCCCAAACAAGCGGACACGCCCTTAATCCCTCGTCGCTGATTGAACGATACCTGCTATACAATTAAGTACCTGGGAATTGTTAAGGAGAGAGGTGGCATGATGAAGACTCCTCCTGCTTCTTTCATCTCACCTCAAACTCCCTGCAAAAGCGTTGAGTGCATGAATATCTGGAAATTTACACAAGCATGATGTTACTACGCTGAAGTTCTTCCACTGCCGGACCCCTGTGGTCCACCCCCAATGCCCGGTTTGGCGGTGGAGATATGACAACATAAGTCACCTCCAGCTACAAAGTACCGCTCTACAGGGTACTGAATGCAATCATAGACTGTGTACATTTGCTCATTCATCCTTGTGCATTTGACCCGGAGCATGAGGGTTCGTCAACAGAACGCTGCTACACACTCAGGAGTGGCACTATCCCGCCGAGACCGTGGTCCAACACTGGTGACACGATTCGTACACAGCAAGTGGCGCGGTGTATCTCTACCCCTGTCCAAACGGCATCCTAGTACAACCATTTCATCTTTCAACGAAATTCCCAGGTTCAATGAAAGTCTGGACTATCACAAGATCCATGGCACCACCATATACACCACACCAGACACAAAGCCTTCGCCAGTACTAGGCAAACACCCTGCTAGCTGACACCGGTCCATGTTAATCAGCCATCAGTGCTCGGAGACAAAAGACAGGCGATTCACATATGCCTACTAACATACTCACTAAAAACCAGATACCCACATATTCCCACACCTTTCGGAACCCCCTTGGCCCTTTTGCTATCGTGTGAACATTTCCTCTGACATCGCACGAACCACTCAACCTTTCCATTCCCCTGTTATACCCTCTTCACCCAGCATCTTCCAACGAGCAAGCCCGGCTAGCTCAATCGGTAGAGCGTGAGACTCTTAATCTCAAGGCTGCGGGTTCGAGCCCCGCGTTGGGCTTTACTTTTTGCTTTTGAAGGTTTTTACCTCTCATGATGTGGTTCGTGATGGGGAAGCATACAATTTTTTTTTCTGGATCCGAAGCTGTAGTGGGCCCATCGGACCCACCGCAGACAAACTGACCAATGATATGGGTCGCTTAGCAGTTACTCCAAAAGTGCTCTATAGGAAGTACAATTTACTTACTTTTTACTCTGTTGTGGTACGCTCACACTTATGAGGTGAAGATTTGTCTATCTGTTTCTCCGTATGATAGTGGTCATCGTGGATGATTTCGATGCATAATGAGACTATGTTAAGTAATTTATTGAATGCCGTGGTGGGACTAAACCATAGGATATGATGGTCCTCGCTATGAACCAACTACTTAGTAATTACTACCCGATAAATATATAATCGACACTAACACCGGGAGATTCATACATTCAACAGCCACTATCACATAGTATTTCAATCCCACTTGCTTACTAGTAGTTCCTCTTCGTAATCAACTACACTGCATGCCAATCACACTCACTACACCCCACCTCCTCCCTCGCCAACTCAAAAATATCTCCCCCCCTCGGCTCAAACTTCACCCCCCTCGACAATTTTGACGCCAAATACAACCAACCAACCGCATTCCCAACCGTAGTATTCGCATCAGACAGCCTCCTAAGCCCTGCACCTCCCTCCTCAGAAGACACCCTATCAACACTAAAGATCCTCGAAAAACACTGAGCAATCCCCTCCTCATCTCCCTTGTCGACCAAGATAGCATTCTCCGATTCATGCACAAAAGGAAACAACTCGGTTTCCCGAACAGCAACCACCGGGGTTCCCTTCTGAATAGCTGCAAGAAGCAACTCAGGGACCCCATGAAGAGTGGATAGCTGAACCAGTGCTCTTGCATTCGTGAGTAGGGCGTTCCACATTTGATCAATGGCTCCGATGGGGACGATGCAGACGGATGCAGATAGAGTCTCGCTGCTGTCGATTTGGGACATTGCTGCGTCGTAGAAAACGGTACTTTCGGGGGTTCGGAATGGGCCGCGGTGGCAGATTAGGAGCTTGGGGACTTGGCGGCTTGGACGCTCTTTGGTGCAGATGTCGCAGAACTTTTGGTATGCGTGGAGAAGGCAGAGTGTTCCGTCTCCGGGTCGAAATTGGGATAGGTGGAGAATGTATTGCTCTAACGCATGGGAGTTTAGTATGGTTCAAGGGCCGGGTTTAGGGATCTTACCCTCTGGATAGCGTATAATGGTCATCTGGAGCGTTCTGCATAGAGAGCTGAACTCACGACCGTAGAAGCCAATGTCCCAGTCAGTTAAGGACTTGTTTTGACCATCGAGTCTATACTGCATCAGCATGCCCGCAAGTCATAGAAGGGTGGAGACAGTACTGGTCAACAGAGAATGACATATAACCAACATTCTCCTCTGGCATTATACGCGGCGCAAGCTCCTTAGGGAGTAGCGACACCACCAAGTCCACGTGGGTTAGCCGGGTTCGGATGAAATCCCACGCTCGGGACTGCGGGCTATTGGGATCATTCAGTGACTCTCCCTGGGGCTGGAGACTGCTCTCAAAAATGACTGGCCGCTCGGGATCTTGTTGCCTGGACAGGAGAGCCAATGTTAAGAGCGGCGCACTGTCAATAATCACTACGTCGACGCCTCCCTCCGCACGAGGCCTGAGGGGCCCATTCTCGCATAGCCAGTATCTCCTGGCGTTGGAGTATGCAAAATCGAGGATAAGTAGCTCATCGTTGATGGTGATATCTGACAGGGGGTCACTTAGTCCTTCCAGGGTGTCCTGCATCTTTCGAATGAGGGGAATCATTCCTGGACGTGGCTTCGGCACAAACCTGTAAGAACGTCGTAAGAATCACAATTAACCGGCTCCAGGATATAAAAGTCATACCATTTAACATGAACCCCAACGCTCTCGGTAAACCTTGACAAGGCATGTCTGGTCGGAACATCAGGCTTGCCTTGACAGGTCATACTGAAGAAAGCGACCTTCACCTCCCTTTCCCTCAGATCCTGGGCAAAACATTGAGCTAAAGACCATGGGACACTGTCGAATTAACCGTCTTTTCATAGTCTTCCGCACTGGCAAGGTGTACATGGTAACCTCTGTCGACATCCACTGAACCATCAAAATTTATATGATTGTGCAGCACATGGCCAATACCAAAAGAACTACACAAGTCAGCATTAGCAACTATCACCTAGACATACTAACCGGATACACTTCCGCACCATCGAATCTGCTCGCTCGTCGAGCTCCTTCTTATGCCACCCGGCAAACGTTGTCAGCTCGCCCTGGTCATTATGCTGTCTTTCACGGTCCTTATGGTCCAAAACCAACGGGACAATGTCGAGTTCGCTCCATAGTCGCGAGCATAGTGACGGACATCTATAGACAAGAGACTGATGCAGAGCAGCGCTAATTATCTTTTCGGCATGCTTTTCCCTGTACCTTTTCAGCTCCGTGATGATGGTGTCGGTTGCATAGTCTGAAACATTTGGACGCGGAGCATGCCAAGTACACACGAGAAAGTCGACCAGATCGGTCAGGTTCCGGATAGCAATTGCAACTCTTCCGCTGGAATTATCGCTGATGATCTCTGTAATTCCAGCGTATATGACCTAGTAGTTTCCTTCATCAGCAACCCAATGTCATGTATAGAAAGCAATGTTCATCCTACATTTAGTGGCCTTCCTGACCAGGACTCTGCGTCAAAATCTGAGCTAATGGAACTCATTTCTTATGATAATCAGAAGCTTATATTGATCAATATTATGGCCGATCATACTCACCATGTAAAATCAACAGATCTTAACGCTCTTATACCCTCTACTATACATGCTTTTGCCTTCCCGGATTGCTTTCCGTACAACCCTACATGGGCTGTTGTTGCCGAACGCCGGGCCTGGAGCGGGGAAATTTTCGGCGTCCCAGAGGAACAAAGACGCCCCCTCTCGCTTGACGCACAAATGACATCTAGCAGCATTTCTTCTAACTGCATTGTGCCCATCGTATGACAAGGAATAGACCATAAAGTAGCCAGACCTCTCGCTTGAAAGGAACACTCGCGTATTATCCGGCCGGCTCCGGCATCAACTCGGAAGGTAGTGTTGGTTCGGCCGAGTAGGACCTTCATGCATTCCTTGCAACTATCACGAAGCTGATGATGGAATGAAGTATGCTACTTAGATTTATACTTTCATATAGCGTGAGAATAATCCTTCACACTAATGAGGGAATATGGTTGTAGCAGTCCGTAATAATTCCTCTCGACATTAAGATGAGCTATATCCAAAAATCAACAAGCCCGCGGAGAAATGAGCAGGCCTTTCCCAGGGCAGCTACGAATGGCCTAAATCTCCAGATAGCCTCGAGGCAAAATACATACTTTATTGCTAACCAGTGTGCCTGCTCTTTCAGTCACTCACGAGCCTCTACATCCTGGATTGCCTGACATGACACCCAATCGGGCGATTGAAGACTGGCCTTGTTGTTCTTTATGAGGATGAAACAACTTTGTTATTCAATCTCTCACCAGACTAGCACAACCCTCACATGAATGGGTCAACTCAGATACTAAGATTTGTCTGTCTGCTCTACATGGGGTTTTGCTGGTGCAAGTAGATCATGCCACTTGCGGAATACATTATGCGGGTCATACTTCCTCTTCAGCTTCTTTAGTCGAGGCAAGTTAACGCCGAACAACTTCTCGGCACTAAAGTCATGTCCTACAGACATTAGAAAGAGAGTTCTTTATACACAGCTTCATCATAGATACTTACCGGCAAGATTGGGACACGCCACAACCTGATCATCAGGAATGCCTCGCTGCGCTTCCAAGATTTTGGAGATAATGCTCCGCTGAAGAGCATGCATCTTCGCATCCAGCTCAGAGTCGTGCCAGCATAATAAGAGCTTGGCGCTGCAATAAGGCCCTCGATTGGCACACGCGGTGTCTTCAACAGGAAGCTCCACAGTCTTTTCGTATGGTAAATTATCGAACATCAACACGCTATCTTCCATACGAGGGTACGCATTCAGAGCCTCAACGAACTGACTGTAAAGATCTTGCAAAAGGCTTGTCTCGAGCGGTCGCATGATGTTTGCGCCACTGATGCTTTTGCGGCCTTCTGGCACTGGGTCGACATTAGCAAATGCATTCATCTCTACATACGTCCTCATGCCAGTATGGTTGGTCAGAGGGTTCATCAGAGGGCTCTGATATAGGATGGGTCCAAAAAATATTCCTCCTTGATACGCAGACCCGTCGTAGAAAACCACAGCCCGCAATACCATTTGCTTTTCATCTCGTGAATATGCGAATCCAAAGTAGAAGCCACTGTTCGGATCCTGACGTCGATCGAACTCGTTCGCAAAATCGACAAGCATTGGTAGCCTATCCACATCGTACTCTATCACCCCTCCGAAAAACGTGTCTCGGACTTTGTGGGCACGGAATACAAACTCAGTAGCAATACCAAAAGCTTGTCCAGCTCCGCGCATCGCCCAGAATAGGTCCTGGTTATTTTCATTTGATGCTTCAACGATGGTGCCGTCGGCCAGGACCACTTTGACACCCACCAGCTGGTCTGCAATCAGGCCGTACTGCCCTGTGAGCCATCCGGAGCCACCTCCTAATGTTGACCCGCCCACCCCAGCGTGACTGGCGATGGCGCCTACCACAGCTAGCCCGTAAGGAGCAGTTGAATGATTGACCATATCCCAGGTCGCGCCTCCCTGGACACACACCGTCTCAGAGGCAGGGTCTGTCAAGACCTTGCGCATCCTAGCCAAGCTGATCACCACACCTCCATGCGACGAAGAAGCCCCAGTAGTGGAGTGTCCACCAGCCTCGACCACGAAGTCGATGTGATTCTTCCGGCAGAAGCGGACTACCTCAGCCACCTCTGCTGTACTTGCTACACGTACAACGGCACCCTGTGCTTGGTCAGAACAGTATTCAAGCGATCCGGAGGAGAGAGAAAGTAGTCACATACAGCTTCTTTTTCGCAGGTGTCACTCCATCGCTGAATGCTCGTCGCATAATCATCGCACCCGATACAGATAACCTCAGCTCTAGTTCCTTGCAATTGCCTCCTCAGTTCCAGCGCACGGGCTTATGACAGGAACGGCATGGCTGAGATTTTGGTTACACGACCTCGGTTGGTTCACCGTGGAAATCATCAAATCGACAAGAAATTTGTAGCCCCGACCATAGAGCAGGAGATGGAAACCGACTTATCTGCACATTCTGTCGAGTGCCAACAGACGGTCGCTGTTTCGCTGGTAGATGAGAAGACCTACATAGGTGACATGGAAACGTCTCCAAGCTGGCCACTAGGACGTTATAATCTTCTACGGTCGTGCAACGTATCAAGTGCTTGACGCAAATCATACGATTTGAAGGCTTGTTCATGCCGCACCCCCGACGTTCCATTAGACGTGGCTGATTCCGCCATGGATGGCTCTACCTAGATCACGAACTGCACAACTTAAAGTTTCCCCAACCACGGGCCCTTCCCACACGTGGAGGGATCTGCTAGATAGCTCTCCTGGGCTGACGAAAATGGAAGACGCCTTCCGGCCAATAGTCGTAAATACCATCCTTTGGGTGTACCGATTATGCTGTTTGTACTCCGGTTTCTCGTGATACTGCATCCCATCTCATGACAGTCGGTTCATCGTGATGATATCATGACACTGTGGCTTCTGAGCACTTCAATGTATTGCAACCACTTCCCCTTGATATCCAAACCTGCTTAGTACATAGTCTACGATTCTACAGGTTATTCTCACACAGATACTTAGTTCCCTTGTATCTTTTTATATCATCGAACAACAACGACTGAGGATAAGAAGTAATCAATAAATTCAAGATGAACCGCGGAAACGGATTGAAGCGGGACCCAAAAACCACGCAGGCCTGGCTCATAGGCAGTGGAATATCATCACTGGCTGGTGCAGTCCACCTCATTCACGATGCGGGTGTTCCTGCGGCGAATATCCACATCCTTGACGTGCACTCCCACGCAGGTGGCGGCATCAAAAGTTGCGGCGACGCAGAGAACGGTTACGTTCTGTACACTGGAAGCCTGCCTTACTTCCATGATCGATGTGTAGAGCACCTTCTTTCCCTTGTTCCCAGCGCCGATAATCCAAAGCAGTCACTCCTTGATAGCATTAAGGAGTTGGACCGGGCAACCTCTCCTAAACGGACAGCGCCAACACGTCTCATAAAGCATGGAGGTAAAGGCCCAGAATGCCTCCACTCCAAAAGTCTCCAGATTGGTCCGAAGTACCGAATGGAACTGATCAAATTAATGCTTGAAAATGAGCGTATGCTCGGAGAGAAAGCCATACAGGACGTCTTCGATGAAGCATTTTTCAAGACTAACTTTTGGACGCTATGGTCTACTACGTAGGTTGATACTGCGATTTCCCACTGTTACAAAGCTGATGATATACAGCTTCGCTATGCAGCCATGGCATAGCCTGGCAGAGTTCAGAAGATGTCTATGTAAACACCTGGCTGAAATCGAACGCCTGAATGACGTGAAGGCTTTGGATCGAACCAAGTATACAATCTACGAGTCAGTTGTTATGCCAATCGAATCATATCTGAAATCACAGGGAGTCGACTTTCACTTCAACGCAAAGGTCACGAGCCTGCAAATGAACCCGAAAGAGGCCCAGACTACCGTCTCCGGAATCATCCTCAAAGATAACGGCGAACAGAAGATCATCGACGTGAGGCCCGAGGACCTTGTCATGGTTACCCTTGGATCAACAACTTCTGCAACTGAGAGGGGATCAAACGACAAGGCCCCGAATCCTGTACCCCAGCATAGCAAAGAGTTCCTGGATGATGACTGGGCCCTGTGGGTCGACCTGATGCAGGCCTCTACGGATTATGGAAACCCGTTCAACTTCCACAACAACGTTGACCAGTCGACTCTGGAGTCTTTCACGGTTACCCTCCGCAACAGCGACTTTATGGAACGGTACGAGAAATTAACCAACAACAAACCCGGCACGGGGGCTTTGCTTTCCTTCTCCGATAGCAACTGGGGCCTGAGTATCAGCGTTCCGCGTCAGCCCGTGTGCTCTGACCAGCCCTCCTCCGTCGATGTATTCTGGGGCTATGGATTACACCCTGAGAAGACTGGAAACTTCGTCCATAAGCCCATGTGTCATTGCTCCGGCAAGGAGATTTTAACAGAGGTGCTATCCCAGCTAGGAATGCCAGTGGATGACATACTCCCGAACTCGATCACGAAGCCTGTTCTGATGCCCATGGCCACGGCACCACTGATGCCCCGTCGCCATGACTTCCGCCCTGAAGTCATGCCTTCCCAGAGCAAGAACTTGGCCTTGGTGGGACAGTATGTTGAGATTCAGGATGATACGACTTTGAGCATGGAGTATAGCGTGCGTGGAGCCCAGATGGCTGTGTTCTCAGCTATGAAGCTGAACAAGCATCCTCCCAAGATTGAACGACACCTCTTGTTATCTGTTTTTGATTTGCTTGGAGGCGCTTAGTCGATACCTTCAAAGTTATGATCAGTGAAGTACATGTTTATCGTTGTATTTCTTCATAGTTACTGCGGATTCTGTACCCAAGCAAACTGTATTATGTCTGTCATTGCAATTATCGCTCAATATCCCAAGCTCCTACTTAATGTGACATAACACCAGACTGACCAATTACCATTACCAATTAACCAATGCATTTCTACCAAATATCATCCTCATCCCACACCTACTCCGCAAATGAACACCTCCCAGCCTTACACCCCTCACATAACTCCCTATTATGCGGCTTGGTCCTCTTCGTCTCATCATAGACAGGCCTCTCCACATCAACCCCATACCACTTCTTTATGCGATACGCAATTCTCTCCGCATAACTCTCCTCATCCAGAAACGGCCGACTGAGCGAATTACACTTCTTACAGCGCTGATGATACACCCGTGCATTGTACTCGTCGTCTGGGTACAGCCGGATCGTAATGGCGATCTTCTTGCTCGTCCACCCGGTTGACGTGCACGAGTCATTTGAGCAAACGAACCGGCCCATGATGTTCGTGTCGTATTCTTTTTTGCTGCTGGTGGCGTCGTCGAAGGGATGGAAGGTTAGCGAGGTGATTGGAAGGGAGGAGCTCAGGTGGTTGAGGACGTCGCTGTGCAGGGCTGGGTACATGGACCAGCGGTTGCGGGGGAGGTTGGATTTGGGCTTGGATCTGGATTTGCGGGAGGGCATGTTGGATGGGTGTAGCTGTCAGTGAGTGTGTGGAGGCGATGGCTGCTGATGGGATTCTTGGAGGGGATAATCAGGTTGATTGTATGTATTGACAGACTCAGGCAGAAGCGGGGTGTTTTGGGTAATTATGAGTTAGGCTTGTGATGTGCTTGAATCACATGCGTTCCACCTATAGGTATCTCTCTCCGGCTGTAGTACCGGGGTAGCTAGGTTTCGCTCACGATTGGCTTGATCATAGTCTATTTTGATCCGACTTATATGTATAATGATATGTAGCAGTATGGAACAGTGAGGAATAACATACAAGGCTTTGCTTTTCACATATTAGGTATACTGAAGCATCTTAGGATAGTATTTCTTCATCGGGTTGGTTCTGCCGGTGTCACTGTCACCAGTTCTGCCTCCTGAAGAGTAACCCGAGCAATGTTTAGACAATCAGAGCTACCGGACCATCCTCAGGCTACATCAAATTCTAAGCAAATAACCTGGCGATGATGCACAAAGCAACAAAGTGAAATATATCCAATGACACTATATCCATAAGGGTTTCTTCCTGAGGCATAAACTTGGACCCACCATCCACACCAGTCCATATCCGGACTAGCACCTAGCTCCAAAGCAGTCACGTGCCTCCTATCAGCAATGCGATCATTCGTCACCATCACTCCATTATCAAACAACAATACACCTTCAACTTGACCTGCCCTCCGGCAGCGGACCACAATCATGGCCGACTCCTTCAGCCTCCCTCTGCGCCCACTCACGGAGAAGCCCGACCGCCCCGACACCCTCCCAATCGAGATTGCCCAAATTAACGCCCGATGGGGATCCTTCCGCGACGTGAACGAAGAGACACTGCTTGCCAAGATCGAAGAGGACAAGAACCGGGATCCATGGGAGGAGGAAGACGAGGACGATAAACCCGCCGAGGATGTGGACTCGACCGAGCGTCTGGAAACATTGTACAAGCGGCGTGCCGAGATCTTGCAGTTCGCTATGTAAGTAGGTGTTTGCTGTTGACCATAAGTGGGCAATGGAGCTAACTGGGTTGCTGCGAGTGAAGGCAGGCGCATATGGAAGCTCTGTTCGCTCTGGATTTTGTTTCGCTTTTGCTTTCGAAGCACACCCCTCGTCAGGCGGAGACTTCTATGTCGACGTTCTTGAAGCAGGTTGCGCCGCTTGGGTCCTTGAATGCGGAGATCGTGGAGCCGCCGCCGAAGTCGGAGGCCGCTGTGCAGGATGTTAAGACTGTGTCGCGGGGCTGGAGGGCGCAAAACTTCAATGCTGCTGCGAATAAATTGCTTAATTCGGCGACGCGGTTGGAAGAAGAGGTCGCTTCGGAGACGAAGTACTGGGATGAGGTGCTGGCGGTTAAGGAGAAGGGATGGAAGGTCTGCAGGTTGCCTCGCGAGAGAACTGCGCTGGGAGTACAATATGGGTTCTTGGAAGGTAGGTTCGCTACTTGCTTACGGTGGATTGTTGCTAATTGCATTGTATAGCCACGCCTATATTCCGCGACCGGGGTCTTGCTGCTCTACGGAGGGCTGATAATGGAAGCTTGATACTGGATAAGGGGCTGGCGCCGCAGAAGACGAGGACGGTTCGAGTGCGTGTGAAAAACCGCGACCAAATTACGGGATGCTCGAAGATGCCGGATCCGATCCCCGATGCGGCTTCAGTTGAGCGCAGGATCTTGCAAGCACGCGACACAGTGTACGAGGAGGAGCTATTCCACGAATTGATGCGCGAAGCACGTATTATGGGAAGTCATGGTGTGACGACTCGGCAAAACCTGGTCCGTGTACCGATATCCGAAGAGCAAGAAATCTTGCTGGATCTGGTAGATGCCGACCGTGAAATGCCCGACGAAGACAAGATTGAGTCAACAGAACACGACATCCTTGCCAATGGACTTTCTCATTCCATTCGGATCCTGCTCGCGTATGCACACCGTCAGAACCTGCGACGCAGAACCCAACCACCACCTCCGCTCTCCCAGAAACGTCGGCATACCCCCGAGTATCAGCTCTTGCGCCCCGTGATGGCGTATCTCCAACACAGCTCGCACGTCCGGTGGCTGGAGTCCTTCATGAATGATATTTATCGGGTTCTCCGCGCGGCAGGAGTTGAGCGTGATTTCCACGCTGTGCCTTTTGCGTCTGTGAGCCTTCCCAAAGTGCAAGCTGTTCCGAAGGTAGAGAGTCTGGTGCAACAGTTCCTGATGCCCTTCGAATCGACCTTTTCCGGCCATTTGATCACCCCACAGAGCTCTTTCCGTGTGAAAATCCGTACCAACCCGGTATCACCGCCTTTTGGCACCCACTACGACATTTCCATTGACCTTCCTCACCATCCCGAAGTGCAGCCTCCCGGTCGGATTGGGTTGCAGAATGAAGCAGCCGCAGCTCTCATGCATTTTGTGAAGTTGGACATCGTGTCGGCCATCGCGCTTCAAGGCTCGAAGACGGCCAAAAACACTACCAAGAAAGAAGGCGTCGAGGGAGATAGGCAGTTGACCTGGGAGGCAGCATACCCACACCACGGTGAACTGCTGGCGTTGTCGAATGCTGGCCGTAGTAAGAAGCTGAAGATCAGCTTGTCACGGGAGGAATTGAAGGTGGAAACATTTCCGCTTCGAGGACTTGAAGGATTTGGCCGATCGGGCGCCACCAAGGCACCGAGTTTACAGTCTCAGACATGGACATCGGACCAGGCAGCTTCTAAGCCTGGTTTGATGGAGTTTGTGGCTGAGGTGTCGCGGGAGCAGTCATAAGCAGCTGCCGTCCCCTATGCTGAGTACGTAGGAATATCCCTCAAGATAGAATCGGAGCATGTGTGGCGAACTCCTGGATAGATAGGTGTTTTATGTATTGATACCCATGACAAAATATTCCAATAACTGGCACAAATATGTGAATGGTCCAATCTTCCACGAAACTAACCTACCTGTAAATAGCCTGGATGACCCGCCTAAGGAATTCGCAGACGCGGGACGAAGGGATGCTTTCACGTGGTGCATTAGTCTGAACCCCATATGCATTGTTCCGGTCATTTAACCCACAACCACATACACTCCCCCATCCTCCTCATCAGCGTCATGAAGGCATTCTCCAAGTCTCATATCAGCCTGTTCTTTCTTACTTCCAGATGACGTCGCTGTTGAGGTTGGTCAGAAACTCTTTTCGCAGGGCTCCATCCCGTCCCCTGTGTTTCCCGACCAGCGGATGGGACATAATCCCTGCGACGGAGATACTTGACGAAAAGCGATTCGATGGATTCAAGAAGGGGCAATATTATCCAGTAATATCGGGAATGTTTTTGCCTCCAAGTACCAGGTCATTAGCAAGCTGGGATCTGGCGTTACTTCAACTACATGGCTTGCCCGTGATCTCGAGTGAGTCTTATCTACCGAACAGTTCTGATCTGTCTACCAGGCCATGAAATATTAATACAGCCAGGGGCCATCGATATGTGACACTGAAAGTTTATACTCGAGATGAAGACAACGCAGAAGAGTTCCGAATCTATAATCACTTGAAAGAGCACAAGTCATCCCACCCACCCTGGCTATGCGCACGTGAGAACAACAGCTCTTGATCTATTCACCATTTCTCGCAATGGAGGCGATCATCACTGTCACGTCCAGCAGCCCATGTGGGAGAGCTTTCGTCATCTACTTTATCGAAATCCCGCACATCGCTTTACCGAGGACTTGCTCAAAGCCGGTCTCATGCAGATATTTCTCGCACTTGATTACCTCTACATTGAATGCAAGCTTGTTCATACAGGTACACCAGCCCTGTCATTAACGAAGGAGAAAAAAAAAATCACGACTGGAAAAGATATCAAGAGCGATAATATTCTGCAAGAAATTGCGGACAGTTCAATACTTGAAGCTTTTACCAAAGCTGAAATGGACAACCCGTCGCCCCGCAAATTCGTTAATGGCGCACCAGTATATGCTTCGCGGCGTTTTGAACTACCCAAGATTTTTAGACGCGCAGTATTGAGTGACTTTGGATCTGCAGTACGAGGTGATGAGAAACAAGACCATGATGTCCAGCCGAATGTTTACAGATCGCCGGAGGTAATGTTGATGACCAAGTGGAGCTATCCCGTTGATATCTGGAATGTGGGTGTTGTGGTATGTTAAGTTCTCATTCCTTACTACTGTTATCGTGCGGGTACTAACGCGAATCGACTAGATTTGGGATTTATTCGAAGGAAAGCATATGTTCAATGGAAATGACCCCGACGAGAAAGGGTACTCTACCCGTGCGCATCTGGCAGAGGTGATCGGTCTCATAGGACCTCCCCCGTTAGATATGCTCGAGCGTGAAAAACGAAGTCATGATTTCTTTACTGAAGACGGTATGTCACAATTGCTTACTTTAAGTTGCCAAACATGAAAGACTCACTGAAGACCGAGCAGGGAAATGGAAACAATGCATAGCCATACCGCAGACAGGGGGGCTAGAGGCATCAGAAAACGTTTCTCGAAAGCAGAAATAAGGAGATGTTTCAGAGTTTATGAGGGGGATGCTCCAGTGGCGCCCAGGAGCTAGAAAGACGGCAAAAGAGCTTCTCAAAGATCCCTGGCTAAATGAACAGATAGAGTAATGTACACTTTGTGTCAGATGGGGGGAAATATCAATCCTGAAACAACCCGACAGTGCCGACACACCCGAACACTAGCGTTTCACCTCCTTATCAACCCGATAAGAGCATCACCACTACTATTTATATTTCCGCAATAGCCGATAGATTGATCCAGATTACCTCGGAAGTATATCCCATGGATATCTGTATATTAATCCCTCATCCTCATCCCTTTTCGCGTATCACATCCATACAAACGGAATGTGTATATGCCTCAACGATGGTGCAACAAGTCTGTGCTCTGATAGTATTGACGAATGGGATGTGCCGGACGCAGAGATTAAGCGCTGTAGGTTCAGTGTCATGTGTACTATAGATCGATCCATATCATGCAATCTAGATCATCTGGTCATAGATGATGGATGGAAAGGGGACGGGTATACGGCATGCTTACTTGGTAGTAGTATCCCTATTTGAAGGGAGGGGACGTACGTAGCACTCTGTATGATAAGTAAATAAGTATTCAGTTTATTCCTCGTCGTCAGTCTTTTGCTACGTACTACCAAGTCATCAAGTACAACCCATCTATATCAACTTCCAACTTCACCTCCATACTACTACATTCTACTAGCAACCATGGCCGTCACAGGTACGCCCTCCTCCCTCGCTCCCTCCCTTCGAGTCCCTTCCATCTATCCCTCGCCTCTTCACCAACTAACCAACCAACCAACCAACCACACAGACATCACCTCCCAACTCCCAGAAAAAGAAGGAGATACATACACTAAAGCCCTAACCCTCAACCACCTCTGGGCCGCAAAAACCACCCTCCAAAACCCCTCCCTATTCCCTACCCTCGCGCGCGCCCAACACCCCCAAATCCTCTGGATAGGATGTTCCGATTCACGGTGTCCTGAGACAACCCTCCTCGATCTAAACCCAGGCGACGTCTTCGTGCATCGCAATATCGCCAATGTGGTGAATAGCCAGGATGTCAATTGCGCTGCGGTGGTGGAGTATGCGGTGTGTCATTTACGGGTCAAGCATGTGGTTGTTTGTGGACATACGTGTTGCGGGGGCGTTGGGGCTGCCCTTGCTAGTTCTTCTTCCCAGGAGGGGAAGGGGGATGAGAGTGTACTGGATGCGTGGTTGAGGCCGGTGAAGAGGGTTAGGGATAGGTTTGCGAGTGAGTTGGGAGGTATAGATGGGGAGTATGCGAGGGGGGTTAGGTTGGTGGAGTTGAATGTGTTGGAGGGGGTGAGGGTGCTGAAGGGGATGGGGGTTGTGAGGGAGGCGGTGGAGAGGGGGGAGGTGCAGGTTCATGGGGTAGTTTATGATGTGGGTTGTGGGGTGGTGAGGGAGTTGGAGGTTGAATAGAGTAGAGTGGTTTGTGAGTGGGTGGATGTTAAGTTGTACTATATTGTAGATTATTGAGTGGTTGGGTAGATCTCATGGTTTCATTAGAAGTTTAGTGGGAGAAGTAAGAACAATTCCAAGATACTAGCAGGTTCTGATGATAGCATGATAAAGCCAATGTAGTGCCTGGCGATTGTGTGAAGAGGCTGGTTGTATCTGTGTATATGGTGTGATTAAACGTTGCTGGTATGATGATTTTCAAAGTCGTAGCACGATTCCAATCGACACAATTATATATAATATATTTAGGCTGCGGCATCAATACAACAAAAAGAAATCCATATTGTGATACAAGTACTCATTCCCTACGTCATCCCAAGTGATTAATTATCATTCAATCTGGAGATAATACCAATAGCACAATATAGCAGTTCGTGGTGGTGCCACAGCACAAACCAGCACTAGTGCCAGACTGGCTAATCAACTTCTAGAACAAGTACAAGAAGACTGCAGAAGAAGCAAAGAATAATCTAACTGACCACGTTGTGCAAATATGATCGTATGATCCATCACATTCCCGCGTGGTAATAAAATGATTGTCTGACTCGCGCATATATTGAGTCCCCCACTGCAGCCGTTAAGGCTTGGCGTTGCTTAGCCCAGCAATAAATTAAAATTCTTACCCAGCTTCCATAAGCCAATTCTTACCCTGCTTCCATAAGCCCACTCATGCTTGTAAGGATATTAGATCTTTGTATGTGACTTTTTTGTAGTAATTATATATATTAACATAAAGGAAATTATGCAAAAGTATAAGATACCCCAACTCCAACCATCCAACCATCCAACCTCCCAATGCTAATCATACGCCACAATAACCTGCCGACTAACAAGAATATCCGTGTCGCCCGGAGGAGTTCCGCCCGCAAGAATCTGCTTCTGACTATCTCCATCGCTCATCTGACTAGGTCGTCGCGTATGATCGGGCATCGAGGTAGTGGTGATCTTGTTGGTGTGCTTTCCCTGCTCAGCCAGCTCGTAATTGCGAGAATACAGGTTAGCCGGTCCCGTGCGCTGAGAGCTGTAGTATCCCCGGGAGTTGTATCGGTTGTTCGACGATGTCTTGCGGTCGCGGAGGACGCGGAATAGTGGGCGCAACGTCGCGACATTGCCGACGATCATGCCCAGGGCGTTTTCGGCGAATCCCCAAATCACCACGTTGGTGACGCTGTAGAGGTAGTTGGATTGGCTGGTTAGGGCGACGGTGTATTTGAGACGGACGCAGGCGGAAACAGAGGCGCTGTGGAGACCATTAGTTAGTTCATGCTCACCAGGGTGTAAATGAATAAGGAATTGTTCTTACAAGACACCCAGGCCCATTAGTCCGATAATCGAGATCTTGGTGTTGCGGTTCAGTTGGACATTCCATAGGAGAGGTACAGGTCTGCTTTAGTCAGTGGAATTCGATAATAGCTGGAAGTGACCGTACATGAAAGCCGTCACCCAGTCAGTGAGAATGTTAACAGCCGTGCAGGCGTAGTAGACATCGGCCAACACGTAGGATGGTTGGCAGTGTCCTCCCTTGGCGAGTAGTGAGGTATCCCAGGCCGCCCTGTAAAGTCAACATCGGTTGTTACGCTCAGATAGGTCGGGCGTCATACTCAACAGGGATGCAGTTGATCAAAATAAAGATCAATGCGATGATATTCATCAGCACAAAGACAACAATCACCACGTATTGCACATAGAGGTACGCTTTGCGACCCTCGGCCACTCGGATCAACATCCAGCTGATACTGAGCTTGATGGGAATAATGGCAGAACAGTAACCGACTTCGAAAATGAGGAAAAACTGAAAGAGTCAGTCCTATGTAGCTGAACATATTTGCACAATTCCTACCTTCTGTCCTTCTCCTTGGTATTTGACATTCTGTGGCTCTGCCAATACAGAATCACGAATACCAATGCCATTGAAAGCACCACCAAGACATCCAGCTACTAGCACGGCGAAAGGCACCTTGGAACATTAGCCATCAGTAAGACCTGCAAGGCTCTAAACCCACCAATGCAGCCGTCATGATCCAATCCTCCACACTCCATGACTTCCTGGTCACTCTGCAGTAAACCCGCAGGCCATAAGTCAATAATGCCAGCGTCGTCAACATGATGACACTGCCCGCCAGCGAAGGCGCTGCACCACCGTAGATGGCCATGGCGTCACGATTGAAAGCAGAGTCAATATCAGCCTTGTGGTGCAGACAAGGACATGGGTGTCAGACATAAATTTGAGGCAAGAGGGGGGGAGTGGACATGAGTGGGGAGTTAATACGGTTATGTTAAGTCGCCGCCATCATGGCAGCTGCGATGAAATTCCTGCTAGTACCTGGTCTAACACTCTTTAGGGATATCGTCGAGCACGCCGAGACAACTATGGCTCGTGGCACGGAGTCGCCATCTCTTCCACTTCGGTAGCCGGGAATACGAGAGCCCCCCTTTACTATCTGAACCTTAAGTGATCGCCTCTTTGGCTTGACAAACGGAGCCTATCTAACTGTATTCATGCGTCCCCACAGTTGCGCTAACGTCCGACAGGCTAAAGTCGATGCCCTGACTCGCTGGTGCGAGGCAAAGGTTTTCCCGGAGAGTGGATCAGGACTGCCAACAGCATGCGTACCCTCGGATGACACACCGCTGTCGCCATGATCTGCCAATCTAGAACTCCTGAAAATGGAGAGGGTCGAACATTCTGCGACCCTCATTTGACCGCAGGGGAGGAACGGGGAAATTACTGATAGCGATTGTCCTGGAGTGGTCTCCGGCGCCTTGGCGGCTTCTAAGCGAGATGTCCACTCCACGTTCATTTGAGCATTACTGCGTGGAGGTCGTATTTGCCACAGAGGCTAAGAGTCCAGCGGCTCTGACTATTGAATTGGCAATAAAACCTGGGATAATGGAAGCCCTTCGCAAGAGAAAATAGAAGGGGAGATGGAGTTGCCGATAATCGCCGGGAACCCTAAAGGTAGTCCCCGCAATTGCATGTCTGACGCACTAAAGAAACAAAAACTGGGTCCCCCCAACCGGATGGAAGGAATTGATTGGGAAACGACGAGCGCTGCAAGGAGAAAGCATGACTCGTCGGGCAACTGCTAGCTTGCAACACAGTAGGACAGACTCGCAATCGATTCCTACATCCAGTTAGACAGGAAACGCCTGTCCCGTCCAAACGCCATCAGGGAATTCCGATTGCCCTCATCCCCACTACTTGCGACCGAGCGCCAATCAAGGAATTCTTACCGATTGGATGGAGGTTGACTGGAAAGCTGCCAAGGCATCCAATTCTGGGTCGATGACTTGCGCACACAAACAAATAAATAGACTTCTCACCTCTCCATCCGTCCCAAAGGAAGAGTCGGGGAACCCGAGCTGTCGGCTCTTATCTGCGCGGGATTGACAATCGACATCCTCTCTTTGGCTAATAGGCCGATGAAAGAAACTAACCAACTACTAGTTATCCTTGGATCATAGATAACCAGTGGATGGCGGCTAATCTCCTGCAGGGGGACCTACTAGTCCATCAGTAGGGCGTTCAGGGGCCGCTGTGTGTGTGTGTGTGTGTGTGTGTGTTTGGGACGGGAGGAGTCACAACTGGCGGGGAAACCGGAGACTGCGCGACCCGAACTCGATCCATGGAACGTCTGTCCCAGGGAAATTGCGTGAAGAGCTTTATTTTTCCTGTGGTCATCTATGGGCAGTATGCCATATGTTGCATGCTGCATGCTGCTATGCTGCTACCAAGCTTTAAGCTTGATGGCGGCACAGGGCACGAGCCAATAAATTGCGTCTGTGGTGAGTTGGTCAGACGTCGATTGTCCTTTCTTCTGATCCTAGATAGTCAATTTGTACGGAGTACAACATCTACATCTTCCCGGGTTGCGGTTATTGATCCGTTGATCGACAGACATCACACGCTCGAGTCGGGGTCGATTGGCGTGGATGATCCTGAAGCTATATATAGAACTTGACGGCTGAAGGAGGAATAGGGGTAACTAAGCACTCGGAATCTTCTCCCCGAAGTCGCCTCCACACAAGTTAAGGAGATATTGTCCGAGGCAAAGGAGGATTAAGTATCACGAAACCGCATTCGACGATCCCTGGATGAGTGGTGATTGGATTTGCTGTCGGTGGATGGAATCCGTCGTCGCGTTTCCACTTCCAATACTACACAGTAGGAGAATGTCCGGCCTGCCGGTAGGTATACTACAGAATGTTAAGTTTGATCCAGACATCCACACTATTGGGCGAGTCATAAAAACAATTGTGATAAAATGTCAAGGTGACAGGGATTGATGTGATGGTTGGTTTTTGCCCGATGGCCACTAATGGCAGCATGTAACGTGACGCGACTCGCGACCGGATAACACTCTCCACTAAGAAGTTGAATTTGGACACCACATCCTCCTCTATCTCGGCACCCACCACCCCAGCTCATGCAAGTAACAGAGGCAATATGAGTTCATGTTCGGATGAATTGCTCGAAGATGATGGCCACCTTGACCTCAAGGAAGAACTCTTGTTCACCTTGGACACCATCCAATCTCCCGGATCCTTCTTAGCCGGGGAAGCTTCGCTGGGCCTTGCCTTGCCTGGCCTGGACATTCCAGGCGTGGGCAACATTCGACTTCCCATCTCAGCCGATAATGCGAAAGCCATCATCCAGTGTTGCGATCGCAGTCCCTACGGGAAAGGTTCCGAAACCCTGGTCGACGAATCCGTCCGCAAAACATGGCAGCTCGACCCTGGCCAGTTCTCCCTTCAAAATCCCCAATGGCAACAGCAAATGGGTATTTTGGTGAACGACGCCGTGACCGGCCTCGGCCTGACCGCTCAACCGGCGGAGGTCAAGGCGGAGTTATACAAGCTACTGATATACGAAGAAGGCGCATTCTTCCTCCCACACCAGGATTCCGAAAAGGCCGATGGCATGTTTGCTACATTAGTGGTGTGCCTTCCCTCGAAGCACGAAGGCGGAGATCTCATTGCTTCCCACCGTGGTACCAAGATCGCATGGCGAAGTGCACCATCCTCAGGGTTCAGCTTCTCCTGGGCTGCTTGGTATGCGGATGTTATCCATGAGGTGAAGCCTGTCATCTCTGGATATAGAGTGGCTCTGGTGTACAATCTGATCCATCGCCCGTCGCTTGGAGCTAGGATGCCCATTGTCCAGACAGACAAACTGGCCCTTCTCTTGGGATTCTGGGCTTCTCGCATTGACGAAGAGATTCACCCCGGCCACCCAGCTTGGGATCGTTCTGTCGATGACTACTGCCTGCCAGCAGTCGTCTACGCTCTCGAGCATCAGTATACCTGTGCGGAGCTCAGCTTTGATCGACTGAAAGGAGTCGACCAAGCTCGTTTTGCACAACTGCAAAATGCGTGCCAGAGGCTTAAGTTCGACATATACTTAGCCAATATTGAGAAGACCGAATCTGGCGCAGCTGAGGAACCATACGATAGCCGTCATCGGAAGCCTTACCATGAGATAGACGTGACGGAGACCAAACTAGAGTTCTTAAAGGTAGTGGATGCGCTTGGAACTGTTGTCGCAGAGCATCTGCCATTTCACGAGGGTTTGCTTATCCAAGACGGGTTCTTTGTGAATCGAGACCCGAATGATGAAGAATACCAGGGTTTTACAGGAAATGCGGGTGCCCAGGCCACTCATTTTTACCGAGCGACAGTAAGTCTTGCTTTTGGTTCCCACATTCGCTGTGTTTTGTGTATGTTCGCTTCTTATAGTCATAGGGCGCCATAATCGTTCCAAAGGCTTTTCGCTTTTCGTTCATACTCCACCGGTTGAAGAACTCCGCAGATAATGGTGAAAAACTTCTAGATGAGTGCCGCAGTCTCGTCTCAGAACGTCTCGATGAAGGTTTGACGGAGCGGGATCTGGCCCAGGCCTGCAATTTGACCTTACAAAAAGAGTGGCTGCCATCCGGGATGATTGACAAGGCCATGCAGATAGCCATTGACGTTGATGACGTGGCTCTATTCTGCCAAGCCGTTGAGTCTTTTCACGGCAATATTTCGCCCTCTCATATTACTAACATAGCGAAAGTCATGGCGAAACATGGACTCGAAGCTATCCGCGAAGCGTATGTTAACCTATACTATGTGCAGCGTGTACGTCCTGACACTTTCTAGGGTAGAACATGTCTTTCAGGTCCAACGTCGTTCTCCCATGGTCTCTAACCTGATTTCTGAGAGATACTCCTGGCTTGCTAGCTTGGTCCGGGAATATTGTGCAATCTGCGAGGAACAGGGCCAAGAGATATCGCCCGACGTGCTCAATTGGGACATCACTACTGTCAGCAAATTACTTTCCATTCATTATAGGGACACGGGTCGTGATGGCTACAGATTTGCAGTGTTACTGACCACTTTGCCCCGGGAGAAGTTATTCGCAAGGTAGATAGACGCCTACGGGTTCCTGAGTTATCACGCTAACGAAACTAGAATCCACCCTTTCCTGGAGACTAAGATTGAGGACAGCGCTTTTCTTGCCTCGTTCTTTGTCTCGGCCTATGACTTCTCCCATACTGATTATATCGATGAAAGTGTGGTCGATGCAATAATCAAAGTTCTTTTCCCGCAATTTGCCCTCGCTTTCCATATTGAACGCGAGCATACCTTTTATCCCATCACTTCATATGGGGCCTACTCCCGGAAACATACCTTGACTTTCAGCGTTAAACCGGATACAGTTGTAAAGGTGCTCCGGATAGGTGATATTAAGGGCACTAACACCACGGCATTATTCGATACCCTCACGGAGTTTGCTCTGGAACTGCGAGGAAACGACATGGATCGTGTTTTCTCCGACTTTCTGTTGCCAGTGGCAAAAGGTGTTTGCGACAACGTCATCACGTCCCGGAGCCCTTCCACCACTAATCAACGTCGATTTTTTAAACACGTTCTGAACAAATATATGGTTGACTATGTCCAGTCTCCTCCTCTCGTGCCACCCGACTACAAGGTCAAGACACGTATAGACTGCCGCTGTCATATCTGTTCTAAGCTTAAGCTAGGGAATTTCATCGAAGATCCCGCGAAAAAGGCCACAGATGTTTTCATGGCTAATCTCGACAAGAAACACTTTGATCGCTATCTTGACAACGCTTATTTCACTAAAACTCTTATTGGACCTCCCCGTGGGAACATGCTGCGAATAGGAAAAACGGATGCGTTGATGGCAGTTTCCCAGTTTTACGCATGGAACAAACGAGCTGTTGAAGCAAAGGCTCAGCTGGAACAGTTGAAACTGTATAGCTCTCTGAAAGAACTTCTGGGAAATAGTTACTATTCCTTGATGAATCACCCCAATCTTACACTTCCTGATGGCCATCCTGCGGGTATACCAGTTGAGGCTGTGGGTGGTTATCCTGTGCTAGGGAGCGTGGTCCCTAGTAAGCGTCGTCAAAGTGGTGATCTACACCTCACCTGAATATGTTGCAAAAACGGGCAGAGGGATTTTGGATCTGCTTGCTCTGTATATCTTCTTATAATACCCTACTTCATATGATTTGATGCTACATTTCTACCACCAGATAGGCAATGAATATGCGAAACCCTGCAGCTACTGCATGTGCCAAGGATTTACATACCACCTGCGTTGACATCCCCGAAAGAGCAGTACAAAACCAAGCCATATTTACCATCATACATGTTCCGGAACAGATCCACCGCGCCACGGCATACTTCATCCATAGCGGATCATTAAGCAGTCTCTCCAAACATCCATCCGCAACCCCAACCAGAACCTCCATTCCTCCCTCGCGCGGATTTGGAAACACCACCTGCAACCCATTGATCACCCCGACATGTGGCGCCCGCACCGACTCAATATATCCTCCCAGCAACGTACCCCAGTCCAGCTTCTACAATGCATAGTCAACCCACGAAGTCAGCATGCAATTAAATCCTGGTAGATCAACCAGTGACGCCGGGAATATCTTCCTAATATCGTCGAGCTGCTCAATCAAGGAAATCACGTCGTCGGTGTGCTGATTGCTCACTCGGTGCAATGCCTTCCGGATCAAGACAGCTAGATCGGCCAAGCGGGCGGAAGTGAGCATCTTGCGAACGGGCATCGATACGCCGATGTATTCGGAAAAGCAGCCATGCGTGTTCGGGTGGACTGGAGGATCAGTCCGTAAGCGGCCATTCAGGGCGATGTTGAAGAATGATTCTTGATCCTGGTTGACGCCATCTAGGGTTTCTAGCGGCCACTGGACGGCCATTACCGTTCGCCAGAGCAATGCGGACAGAGCATCGTTGGTCGATATCCACGGAACGTCTGTCGGTTCCGATGCATTTCTGGGTGATGCGTCCATCTTCAATGCAGCCAGAGCCTCCGGCGAGAAATAGAAGGCCTGAGCCCGGTGGTTCTTGGCAGCATCTTCGGCGGCAGGCCTTCGGGCGGCTTGAACGGGAGGACGACGTATTCCGGGTGGTCTTCCATTCGGCCTGGGTTACGCCCTGAGGCGCGCATGACTTTCTCACAGTCTGTGAAAATGGCTGGCGGGAGTACGGCAGGATTGGTTATTTTCAGTTTTTGTGCGCGACGGCACTCCTCCGCCCAGATCTGCATCCATGTTTGAAATGAGGTGCCGTCGCCGGCCATATGCAGTATACAACATGTTAGAATCAGTCCACCGCGGATGCATTCCTCTCAGAGATATATTTCGAAAGGCATTAGCTAATTGTACTTGGTGTATAGGTGTTTATCTGCACGACTTCCGGTTTGAGTATCTCCGGTAAGGTCTACTTAGCCATTGCAAGCTTTTGCTTTGCGACAATTGAAACTGACGAGAACAGGAGGCTTCTTCGGTGCCGGCAAACATGTCTGGGCTATCAGCGTCACCAACTAACTGATGACGCTATTCAAGGTTAGCAGTACCACACAAGTATCACTGCAGCCCGTCCACTGACATTTCAGATCCTCTATATCCACGTCATGGTATATTCCGCCGGAGCGCCGCCTCCAAAGTCTCGATCCTCTTCTTCTACCGCCGCGTCTTCATGGCCTGCCACGCAGATCTCTCCCTTCGCATCGGTATCTACCTCAGCTTCTTGCTCACTCTCTCCTACCCGATAATTATCTGCGTCAAAATGGCCACTTCGGTGGAAAGGGAGGGGGGGAGTACGGCTGATCAGTCGATCGTGGTGCATTCGAGTTTTGAGCAGTCTGTTTCGAATAAGTAGAGGTTTATACCGTTTTATTCAATATCACACGATCAATGAGGCTAACACGTCTCTACGTTTCACTTCACATCCTCCTCAGAACTACTCATTCCTAGCCAAAATCTCCTCAACACTCTCCACTTTAACCACCTCCTCCCTCTCCATCGCCCTCTTGACAGCATCAACCACCACCAACGCCCTCAGTCCCTCAACAGCATCACATCTGGGCGCCTCCCTCCCCTCCAAAACTTGCACAAAATGCTCCAATTGCAAATCAAACGGTACTCCCTCACCAACCTCAAACTCCTCCACTTGCAGCTTCTCACTCCATCCCTTCTCCCCCTCAACCCCATCATAACTCCACCTCTTCAAATCCGGCACACTCAACGACCCCCGACTGCCCAAAACCCGATAAAACCCTCCCCCCTTACCACCCACCTTCGGAATAATGGGATTCTCACCCGTCCCGGCCTCGAAATTCCACGGCGACGGCGCACAATCACTCACCACGAAGGTGCCCACCACCCCGCTGGCAAAGCGGAAAGTAATTGCCGCGCCTTCCTCCGCTGTGTGATCTGCATTACCATTTGGACCACCGCGCTGGGGCAGGGTTTTCTCTGCGTAGACGCGCGAAATAGGCCCGAATAGGTAGTGCAGGAGATCCACGTCGTGGATGAGGTTGATGCTTAATACACCGCCTTTGGTCTTGTCGCTTCTCCATGAGGTAGCGCCGGTGAAGTAGGATGCTGGCTTGTAGAGAGTCCATAAGCCTGATAGAGCGATAATGGGACCCAGGGATCCGGAGTCGAGAATTTCCTTTGTTTTGGTGATGTAGGGGTTGAATCTCCGATGGTGGCCGATCAGGATCTTCACGTCTGGGTGCTTCTGGTGCGCTTGGAGTAAGGGAAGCGCGGTGGTGATGGTGTCGCTGATAGGCTTTTCGAGTAGGATGTGGATGTTGTGGCTGATGAGTTCGAGAGCCACGGGGACGTGCGTGTGGTTGGGAGTGCAGATGATGGCGGCGTCTGGGTGCGGGATATTGGGTACAGAAGATATGAGGGCTTTTAATGAGGGGAAGTAAAGCGTATTGAGGGTTTTAGCCACGGCCGAAGCGCTTGGAGAGGGGTCGACCAAGGCAAGAAGGTTGGTGGAGGGGTTGTTGATGACGGATTGGGCGTGCCGGGGGCCGATGAGGCCGGCGCCGACGATGATAATGTTAATCATGGTATTTACAGGCTTCTGGATGCAATTGCGTGAAGAATGATGGGTTTTGTGCCGGTGAAAAGGGTGGTTTATATATCGGTGAGTCAAGTTGGGATTCTGCGGTGGGTCTGGTCTGGTTTGGTCTGGGGTAAATGCAGTCCCTGACCGGAGAGTGGATCTGGATGCATATGACGCTGCATAGCAATGCGGCTGTTGCTTAGGGGCAACTTGTGGTGGGAATTTTGCCTGACATTGTGCTGGGTAATTGGGGTGGCGTGGGAGGGCCGGAGAAGCGCTTAGCCAGTTACATAATGTGTTTTGCCGGTGGGGTGCGGGCATTGAGGATGGATACGGAATCTGATCCGGCGGTATCTCCCCCGCTCGGAATCCATCCCGTAGACTGCTACGATCAGTGTGTTTGGTGGGGTTTACCCCGCGGGTCTACGTTGGACTGGGAGATGTATTGTCCCGGGAGCCCGGACGAGGCAATGAGGAGAATATGTGTTGCGAAGCAAAATGAAGAATGACGATACAGTATAAAGAATAGTCTTCGAATACAAAACAATATAAGATCAGGTACTAAGATATAAAGGAACAACAAAGTGGGATCTCACGCATTAGGAAACGCAGGCGAACGGAATTACTGCCCAGCAGCTGGCTGTTCTTTTCTTACCATGACAACGTTAGGAGCATCTCGTTGAGCGCATCCAGTGCCTTGATGTGGGAACGACCTGAAGCTCGCAGTTTTCACGTTGGTAGCGGTTGTCAAGATTGATAAGATGTGAAAACGACGATTGCTTGAATGCTTTCTGCAGCACACTCGTACCTCTGCCGTTGATCAGAGGTTATTCTTCCAGTACTCAATCAGACTTTCGCTTGTCAGTTGTTTGATTTGGCATCTGCATATGCACGTAAGGCAATTGCGAGTAGAGTTCCACCAAGACTGATCATGTCACTTCGATTTAGCGTATTCCAGGGCCCAAATTCACGCATCCTGAGAAACGGGGACGGCCCGGGGGGCAGCGTGTTGTTGAGATACTGAATATAGGCGTCATCATACTCCGCAAAAATGAGATAAATAAGATGACGGTCCTGTGAAACATGGAGACGACTAATGGTAGTGAGCGACCGAAGTGGCAGACATGATGCCGAGGAAGACGCTAGACACATACCGACCCGGCAGATTCAACACACCAGTAGAATCAGGATCTGATTTGATCCAAGCCACCATCTGAGCAGCCTCCTGCATGCAGATCGGAATTCGCTTTTTCTCCCTTAGCATTGGCTTTACTTCAATCAGTGCCCGCCCCTTCCCAGGAGACTCTCCCTTGAGATAGCCATCGCTTCGTGCTTCATACGACGCATGTTCGAAATCTGCCTTGAAAGATTTCCGATGTAGAGTCCAGTCGCATGCTTCAGGGAAGTGTATGCTCAGAGCATTCAAAAAGTCCACAAGTGCTGAATTTACAATCTGCTCATCTTCTGTTTGGGGATAGACTTGATTGGAGATTTCACCCGGTCCTGGTGAATTGAAAGGCGATTCTTCACCTGGTGTGTCTGGTATCATTCCCGTTGACTTAGTCGGGGTCTGAAGTTGTATATCCCTCATCTTCCGCTCTAATCCACCCACTTTGCCACGTGTGCGATGGGCAACAGGAGTAAATGTCACATCTGGACGAAACCTCTCATCAAGGGACCCCGAGGCTTCAGACTGGTACTTTTTAGCTAAGGCGAAGGTTCCCTCAAGGATAGTGTTGCTCGTGAAGCTCTGGTGGTAGCGATCCCAGGATTGGAGTGTTGCCAGAAGTTTGTCAGCCTTCTGTTTCCATTCCTTCAGGCCAAACTCTTCCAGTTTTAATTGTCTGGCCATGGATGACTTCCAAAGAACATGCAGTAGAAGGTATTGCTGGTGGTTGATATTCGATCCAGACGTGAGCGGAGCATCATGGATAGTTGAGTTAGACACCTCATGCGAAGCGGCCCACCCCCTCCACTCAGTCTCGTTTCTCGGAAGACGGTCGCTGCTAGTCATGTCTGTTGTGTATGTGAGAGTTAACGTTGCTGGGAACAAGGCAGTATTCCTGACAGTCACATCTGCCCTACCTTATATGGCAAGATCACAAGGCCGGCATAGACAATTCCAGCGAGGGTGTGCTCACTACTACGCGCCCATTCTTGCGTGGACACCCAATGCAATGGCACACTCATATAGCACAGAAGCATTCTGACCAGCTTAGTAGCAAGGCACCCAGTAAAAGACGGTGGATGGAGCGGCTGAAGGGTCTAGCGGTTAGTTACCGCCGCGATGGAGGTCAGTGGTTTAATTTAGCGCATGGATACCAGTGAAGGGGAAGCTATGACCGCTGCTGCCTATCACTGTATCAAGTCAAATTCTAATCTGGACTCCGGCACAGTCCCAGAATACGTATCTCCCCGGAGAGATGTAAGATGGAGACAAGCGAAACGCCTTGTATTGTTTCACCCAGGAAAGACACGGGCACGGAGGAGGAGCGAGAGGGTACGCTAATGATAGGACCAAGGCGCTTAGGCGCCTGGGCCAGTCAATCGCAACGTTTATCTCATCTTGCCTTTCTTGAGAGAACGAAGGACTTGATTGATTGAATGAATTTTCCAAGCTAGCTAGTATCAGGTGGCAGGAAGATAGGGCCCTTGGTCTAGGCGTGGGTACGTATTAGCTTATCTGACCGTCGAAGGTTGTGCCCCACCTCCATTCTATTTTAACGGCATCCTTGAGCATTCCCACAAAACAGAAAGCTTGTTTCATGATTGGTAGTATTTAGTTGTGAAGTATCCAACTAGTACATCGACTCTCTCTACTTGTGTAGCAGCCTTGCGGGCTTTGGCGAGTTCGTAGAATCATTTTGGGCGTTCTGCTATGTCTCGCCCTAATGCCCCTTTTTACCATTAGTCGCTCACACGAGATAGTCAATACCAATGGGAGATTAGACACATGAGTTCGCCCTGCTGCTATTTGAAACCCTATCACTATTCCTAGCGCGTAGCTGCAGCCACTCGGAGAGTAGCATTGTGGGCAACTGGCCCGAAGAGGCTTTATGCCTTAGGCAGAACGGCCGTCCGCCAGGCAGCCAGTGTTCCACCCAATCCCGTTGCAAGTTTACCTGCCGTTTTTAAAGTTCCCTCCTTCCCTCTCCGCCCTTCTCATCTTCCATTGTTATCCCCCTTTCTTCTTTTCTCATCATCACCTTTTTAGGACTCAGTCAACATGTCTGATCAACAGCTTCTTCTTGAGCGACAAGCTCGGCGGCATGCTCTGGCTAAGGTTGAGGAGCGCATCAAGCAAACACCTAATATGCATATCGAACCAAGCGACCTGAAGGCGGCTGGTATCCGCCATTTTCCTTTGTCCCTCGAGGGTGCCAAGGACCGGCCGTCTTTCTTCAGACCGTACGAAGAGGAGCTGCCTCTTCCAGTTGAGGAAGACGAATTTCTTCAGATTGAGCTGACCCCGGATAATATCATGTGGGATACTCGTGCGTTGGAGCTCTTCCTCTTTGACCACTTCCATGACTGCAGAGGGTCTGCCAAGCGCGAGTATCCCCCAAACCCTCCGTATGGTGTGTACCGAGAGTATGTGACTTCTTTCCCCACTCTTCCGGTATGTTAGCTGGCTCTCTGACTATATCATCCTAGAATTGGGGATTTTAAGTTTGGCCAATTACTGGAGTGTGGGAAGTTTAACTGGTATGCTGTTTCGGTGACTGATTACCCAGATGAGAACTTGCCCCACATCAAGGCAATAGTGGAAAATGATGCTATTGGTGATGGTAGACTGCTCCGTGGAGAAATCATGACAATTACAGACATTATGAGGGCCCGTCTAAGAAGCAACACACTACGACTGCATATTGTTGCTCCGGTACAGTCTTTCTCTGACAGATTCCATCAAAGGCTTCTACTGATCCTAGTCTTGTAGATGCTGGTTCTTTCACTCATGGGCCCCCGTCATGCCCGTGTTCTAGAGGCCGATTTTGATGGAACGATGCTTAACATCCGTGCTTCGAAGTTGTATGGTTTCACGCGGAAGAACACAGATGCTGTCCAGCTGCTGACGCGGTATTGGCTGGGTGGGGCATGCGGCCAGACCACGATGAAATCCTAAGTCGGTATATCTGATTCTGGCGTTCAGGTTTGGCGTTGTATATGAAATGGGATGGAACATGGGCATTGATCACGATAATATGGATTAGCTGACTGATAACGAGCGTCGTTCTGGCAATGACGTCGACATCTACGAGTTAGGTATAACGGGGAAATATTTTGCATTCATCATGCTCGGAAAATCGAAACTTCAAGGGTACATGCACATAGAGCACCTCTACTAGAGATAGGCCATAGTATAGTAGACTCACTTGACATCACCAGTTCGTTCTAATGATTTCCTGTCCTGCTGGTTGTCACGTGCTGTTTATGCCGAATGCGGCAATGCGGAGGAGATGGCGACCCGCCTCTCTGATTGGTCTGCTTCCATGAGGGCGAGGAATAACCTCTAGAGCCTCGGTTATTTTTAGATGATATTTGCACAGTTGATAGATCAGAGATATGGACTGTGAAGTGTCAAGGTGTTGATCAACTTTCTAGGAAGACTGACCGGGCGGTAACACGTGGATGGCCTGGTCCCGTTCTGATTGGCCCACAGGCGGGATGGCAGGTGCACCGCCACGGCTCCGGCTTGACTTTTCTTCTCTCCCTGTCTTTCATCGCATCATCGGGCTTCATCTATCGCACACACAAATCGTCAGGATGCGCTGCGCTTCCCCCTTGGGATCCCCGTTGATGTCTTCTCCATTCCAGCTGTGCCCATAATCTTCAGTCCGGCTTTCCCCGCCCAGGGATGGAGCCCGCCCCGCTGGCTGCAATCATGTCATCTGATTCGACCCCCGACCCCCGGCTGGAGAAGTCCCGGCCGGCAGCGGTCAGTCGTATCAACTTCTTCACCTCTCAGCTAAATACCTCGATCGAGGCCTCCAGTATCGAGGACTTGTGCTCCGTGTATAAGCCGTTTGACCTCCTTCTGGAGACAGGGGCCCACAGTGGCCTATGGTGGCTTGATATCACGGCTCCAGCGGAAGAAGACATTGAAGCTTTAGCGCGATTCTTCAACCTCCATCCTTTGACTACAGAGGATATCAAGACCCGCGAAACCAGAGAAAAGATCGAACTTTTTGGTCACTACTACTTTCTCTCTTTGCGACCGCCGCGCCGATTCGAGACGGACACTGGGGTACGCATTGTCTCGCACAACCTCTACGCCGTGGTGTTCCGGGGCGGCGTTCTCAGCTTCAGTTTTGACCCCAGTCTGCACACTAGCCATGTGCGACAGCGTATCAAGGAGCACAGCAGTCATCTGCTGTTGACCAGCGATTGGATCTGCTATGCCCTGATGTAAGCCCCACCACTACCCTAGCTCTGTTACGGCGATGTTTACTGACGCTTGGCAGTGATGACATTGTTGACGGCTTTGCCCCGTTCATCAGTCGTGTCGAAAGTGGTGTTGTAACGGTGGAAGACTCCGTCTCCATCACTCGACCGGATGACATGGGACTAGCCTTGCAGCGTATCTTCAAACTGCGCAAGGAGGTCATGAACATTCGTCAGCCGCTGCACGACAAGATCGACGTCATCCGGTCCTTTGCGCGGCACTGCGATATCTCCGACACCTCGTCATCGCAGGTTGCCCTGTACCTTAGCGACATCTGCGATCACGTCGTTACCATGATTGCCAACCTTGAGCAGGCCGAGCAGATGCTCTCACGGTTGCAGTCCAAGTACCTCACCCAGGTTCACTTCGATTCCGGACGCATGCGCAATGGTATTGCATCAGCACTCAGCAAATTAACGGTTCTTGCATCTATCCTCGTGCCGATGCAGTTCATCACGGGTTTATTTGGAATGAATGTCAGAGTACCAGGGAAGACGCATGATGGGGACAACTCACTCACTTGGTGGTTTAGCATTCTAGGTTTCATTCTAGGACTGACTGTTATATTCGCCTGGGTGGCCAAACGGATCGGACTGCTGGATCGGTAACTGATACACATACATACTATGTTGCATAGACGTTACATCTTCGTCATACATATTGAATACCATATAGTACCTAATGCTATGCTATTTCCTTGGCCGAATGCCACTTACTCACGCCCTAATATCCAGCCCAAGCGCCCGCTGGTCCTCCCGCACCTTATCCATCAACACCGCCATGTCCTTCTCCGTTTCATTCCACTCCCGCTCTACAAACGCCTTGGCCTTCTCACTGCGCGGCACAAACAGCGCCTCAAACGGTTCCGGTGTCGACACAAAAGCTGAATCAAACGCCATATCATCCACCGGTACCGGTTTCCCATCATCTCCCAGCGGCGCCTGGATATCAAACGCCCAAAGAATCCTAGCCATCAGTAGAAACAACGAATTCCTCGCAATATGCCGACCTGTGCATATCCGCCGTCCATATCCAAAGAAATTGCGAAACCGACCATCCTCCTTCCCAGTCGCCTCGAACCACCTCTCCGGCCGAAATTCCAGCGGATCATCCCACGGCTCATCAGTCAGACACATCGACCAGAACAACGGAATCACCGTCGCCCCCTTTGGAATCCGATATCCCATATAAGTATCCTCCTTCCTCGCAGCATGCGGTATCCCACCCGGAGCCATCGACCTCCACCGCAACGTCTCATCCACCACCGCCTGCACGTACACCAACTTCTCCTGGTCCTCAAACGTCGGCATTCTATCCTTACCCACCACCTCATCCAACTCCTTCCGCGCGACCGCCACAAACCGCGGATCCGTCCGAATCGCTAACACAAAGATCTTCATCACCGCCCACGTCGTCTCAAACCCCGCATCCACCAATACCCCCAAATTATACGCCAAATCCATCCGCGGCATTCCCTCCGCATGCTTCGACGCCGAGAACTCCTTCGACCAATTCCACGCCTCACTACTCAACCCCTTCTTCAGATGTCTTGTATGCACACTCGCCTCGAGCCGAAACAACTTCTCCGCCAGCCTCTTCCACGGCGCCACCACCGCCGGCAAGTAATTCAACACCGGAATCGCATCCACAATCCACGTTCCCACTCTCGCCGCGTAGGTAAAATTACCCTGAATGGTCCGCATATCTCGCAACTCCTGCCCCTTTGGCGAGAGAAGTCGGAACCCGTACGCCAACGCGAACATCAAACTCCCACTATATCTCTCGAAATGCGCATCGAAATCATTCGACCGCAACAAATCAAACATGAGCTGCTTACTCTCCAGATCCTGTATGGGGTGGTAGGTATTCGACGCGCGGGGACTAAGCAACGGAGCATCAAGTCGCTGGTGAAGTCGTAACCAGTCATCGTATTGCCGGATGAGCATGTGCAAGCCCTTGGTGATGTTATTCGCCATGACGAGGTCTGGGCGGTCGGCGTAGATGCTGCCGCGTTTGTCGAGAAGATCGCGTGCGATGATGGGTGAGGTGATTAGGATGAGGGTTTGGCGCCCAAATTGGGCGGACATTATAGGCCCGTAGGTTTTGCTCCATTGGTCGAAAACTCGCCACGGCAGGGTTTGAGGGGCTTGGTGCAGGTTGCCGATTAGGGGAAGGCGACGTGGGCCTGGGGGGAGGTTGCGGTCGCGTTTGTATTCGTAGAGGAGGCGGAGGGTGAAGAGGGCGAGGAGGGTGAGGAGGATCGTGGGCATTGTGGTGTGGCTGGATGTATAGGTTGGGGAGTTAGAGTTGGGCTTTAGTTGGGGAGGGGATGTGCCTATAAGGTGGTGCTATTCTTATATACTAGTGTTAAGTAGACTCTTCCCCTCTCTGGTCACAACGAGCAAGGATATTCCTCAATACTACCGCTCGACTCATGAGGGGGTTGCAAGAGTCTCGATTACGTTGCAATGACAGCCTTGCATTAGTTTGTGCTTCGGGCGGGCTGAGAAAGGCCCTTTATGGTAGTGGGGAAGTCTAATATGGACAGTGGTAGGAGCAATATTATCACGCTAGCTGTTGGATGGCTACAGTTTGATGTCACTAAAACGCCCATGCATGGCCACCCCCTCCATCAACACAGTTGTGCCGTCTGACGACCCGCTCAGCTGCATTAGTGCACTGACGGGGCGTCTGTCACTTGACGCACGGCCGTTGAGGGACAAGGGCTGGCTGTTGAGGAATTTTTATCGGGGTTTATTATTGGTGGGTGTGTGTTTTGGGCCGTTCTGGGCTATATTGTGTTCCAAAGCAGGATTGCAGGATAGAAGCCCTAAGGTCTTGTATTATCAGCTATATTTAGCCGGTATTAAGTGGAAGCAGCAAGGAGACTTGACATACCCTGGGCAAACGGCATTTATGCGGATTCCACTCGAAGCGTAGTACTTAGCATCCTACGCCATTAATCAGCTGAGGTGAATGATATTGGAATTAAATGGGTATTACAACCATTTTCGTAAGTCCCATCACGCCTATAGACTTACGTAAGTCATAAACAAAGTATACCATGGACTCAGGAAAGCTTACCGTGTTTCGAAGATATAAATGCAGGAAAAGGTATACCCGTAGCCGAGGCAGATATGCCTAGAGAGGAGCAGAGGTTAACAATAACCCCAGGACCGCGTCGAGTACCACACGATCTGTAAATTATCAGAACGTGCACCTATACCCATAAAGCTATGATCGTTTCATACGTCTGAGTAAGCAACTGCTGAAGAAGTGCCCTCTGCGACAGCCACACACCCGTCTAATTAATATCAAATGCCCGCTGCCAATCCCTTAGGGATAAATGATGTGTGGGCTTTCCTGGATCACCAACTCCAGCGCAGTTAACTCCAATATCCCCGCGACCGAAATTGGTGGCGACCTTCTGGACCGCATTGTTGACTTGTGCTTCGTTCGTCACGTTAAGAGATGCGGTTAGCAGCTCCACATAGAGAGATGTTTGTTTCAGCGACTCAGAGACTTTTTGGAGATTGGAAGAGTTGCTGTCGACTAACGCTAGCTTGGATATTCCGTTCCGAATGAATTTATGAGCCACGTCGGCTCCGATGCCTGTTTGTATTTCAGCTTCGCTGGTAGATTCACGTGGTGCGGCCGTCCTACCCGAGCCTGCTCCAGTGATAAAAGCTGTTCCGCGTAGAAGATGAGCCATGGCGGTCTGTCTGAAACACTATTTGTCGGATCAACTAGTGTATATATATAATGGAACTGATATAAATTCCGAGACACAAGTGTGCTCCTTCGGCATTGAAAATATCGATACTGACGGGAATCACTACATAAGAATGTCCGGATACGATCGCGGGGCCCAGTTACAACCCTTATACAGTTAGTCTTCATGTGAATAATAGAAGAAGTCGTCATGATCCTGCCTTCGTTACCGAAGTATCGTAGCTGGGGGGCTCTACCTGCATGGGGAAATATTCAGATCAAGATAAACGGATACGCCGAGTGTGCCATCAGACAATATAAAATATCTGCCGAGGAAGCAAGGATGCAGCTGCGGTGAGGGAATCGTATGATTTGAGCTGTAATAGTACTTTAACAAGAGCTGTTCATGAACAATGATTCATCATATCATCTATGCCGTGGTTGGCACCACGAAAATATTCTGCATAGATTGTGCATATTCCAATAAAGGCGCTGTAAATAGACATTTTATACCACACTGTCTTAAGTCCTGTAAACTCCACTTCCACATTTCGCGACATATAATCATCGTCAAAATATGGTACATTTCCCATGATAGAATTGTCACCAAAGAAGTACCACTCGCGGCTTGGGGCTAGCCTTACATGCAAGAGATAGCAATATCGCGTCAATAGCTGCGGAGGCTTTGTAGCGATTTTCCTCTTGATCAGCCTCGCAAATTTGAGGGGTATCCCCCGACAACACCATGTTGTGATGCAGAGAGACTTCACACTCATTATTTGACTTACTTGAACAAGGCTCAAGCAGCGAGTGTATTTTTCAGGACATTGGAGACATTTCATGTTTCTAATGCAGCTGAAATTACGAGCCATATCAGCCGGATTTCCAAATCTTAACCCAGCCATCCCGGACCTTCAGCTCGCCAGCGCTGCAGCCGGATTCCCCGTCTTGATGGTGCCCGAATGCCTGCTCGCCGCTTTGACCTTCAGCGACTACGGCTCGGAGCTAACGCAGTTGATGAATGATAGATATTCTGGGTCACTATGCTTCTCCCATGGCTCATCGTTCGTGTGCAATATTGGACTGCCTCGGCCATTTTCCTGACGATGGCCCTGACGCTATCTTCCCAAAACTCATAGTCATTGCGTCGTGCTTGGGTATTCATGCATGTTTCTGGGCCTTTTGCTTAGAATGGTGGGCATGTATTACCGACAAATAAGACATTGAAGGTGAATCTGTTCTTGATTGGTGATAGGCGAGTATGGTCAAGCGTGGCAGGAAAAAGGAGAGGCTTCCCTATGACGGTCTGGTTGTGCTTTGAGAGACAGCTGATTTGACGCGAAGAATATGAGACGAGGAGAAGAAAGCCCAGAAGACCGATGGGTGCTATTGCCAAAGTAGAGGCGAGAGTGGCTAGTATGATATTTAGCATACAGCGCCACCCTCCCATATCAAAAACCTGAATACTCGTGAAAAATGTAGCGTGAAGCAGTAACCCATCCAAGGATATTGGCGGTAAAAGCTTTCGTGACACAGAACGCATACTGAAACAATTTAGTTTATGTTATTGATCACATATGGCTGGTAAAATCAAGAATGCCAAACAGGTTAGCTGAACGAGGGAGTAAGGGTAATATCTCGACGTTCCCTTTTCCGTCTCTTTTATCTGAAGGCCTTTCGTCTATACACCATGCATAAAGCCTTATGACGTGGTGCAGTTCACTCTGCCTCCGCCCTCCGCCGTCATGGTCCGTGCAGATATGTGGTACAACATATCAGAAACCCTTGCATCCCTTTACATAATGGGATCTACCTGATTTATGATCTTCGTTGGCAATTCCTTCTATCCTTGTGTGTTATCTCACTGACGTAATATACAGAGCACTTTCGATACATGCGGCCTTCTCACTGCTTGACTCATTTCAATCGTCAATAACCATGTCACAGGACAACCACGTTCGAACATGTGTGTTTCTCTCTTTGATTTAGAAAGGTAACAATCTTCTATCCTGGAGAGTCAGTCATTGTAAAACACGATCGTTCGATATTTGTAAGAACAAGGGGATACGCTAAGCTGGTGAAATGAGGAGGTTTAGCATATGGTAACGGTGCAGCACAAACAAAATGAGCACAGATCACTGAGGTACGCAACCTAGGGTTACCAGAGAAATCGAAGCTCAACTACGGGACACGATCGACATGGTGTAGATTTAGACACTTCTACATGATCTCATTCGGCTCTAGTCATCTACAAACATTGCTTTCATACTCTCTAAAGGTATTGTAGCTCAAAGTTTTGTATCTAATTTAAATTCAAATGCGCCCTTGCTGCTCTCTCGCTGCTTTCTTGAACCTAAAGGACAGAAAGGGATACTAGCATATGCGGTCGATCAGAATAAGCCAGAAGACGCCATTAGGGCCTGCGACAATCCCACAACTTTAAGGAAGTAACACATAGATTGCCATTGCTAAGCCACTGCATGGATTGTTGGCTCCGGGAACCCTTCCAAGCCCCGCTCTCCTGTCACCTTTGGTTTGAGGAGCTTATACACGCAAGAACGACATCTTGTCCCGTCTCGAAGCAACAAAGCATTTTAGGCCGCATTGAAATCCAAATTCAAAGTCCTGGGCGGATCAACGGAAGGGACTATTGTGGAGAATGTGACTACTCGGCGACTGGGCGAAAATGATGTCTTTATAAAGACCACCCATTCCGGTCTGTGCGGAACAGACGAACACTTTCTACACGGCCACCAAGCTCTTGGACATGAGGGAGTAGGTGTGGTAAAGCGCATCTGTTCCAGCGTAACAAGTGTAAAGGTCGGTGACCGGGTTGGATTCGGCTTTATCCGACGTGTGTGTGGAAAATGCGACAACTGTATTAGTGGTAGGTTGATTATTTTACGTTGTCGTGATCGCAAACGTGAAACTAATGCATATGGGACGCGTAAGGCTGTGACAATCACTGCAGAGAAAAGCGAGCATATGGCCAACATGACTTCGATGTTGGATCATTTAGCCACTGAACTGTCTGGAATGCCGATGCCGTCTATCCCATTCCGGATGGATACGATTCGACTTATGCAGCACCGCTTCTATGTGCTGCTGCTTCGGTCTGGGCTTGTTTGACTAATAATGGAATCCGCCCGTCCGATCGTGTTGGTGTCGTAGGAATAGGTGGTCTTGGCCATCTCGCGATCAAGCTTGCTGCGGCACTTGGATACAATGTGGTAGCACTTTCAGGCTCAGAAAAGAAACAGAAAGAAGCGCTAGAATTTAGAGCATCAGAATTCTATCGCTTTCCCAGTACCCAGGGGGGTGTCCGCATTAAACCCGTCAAACATCTTCTATTGTGTGGCAGCTCCGATGTCGATTATGCCTCGTAAGCATGATATTTACCATCTAGATATGCCCAAATTGTCTGACTAATGTTCGTCGCAGCCTACTTGTGGTTGATACAAATGGAGTTATCTATCATATTTCTGTGACCCTGGAACCTACACCTATCCCTCTAGTTCCCTTCGGTCAGAAGGGGATACGGATTCAGGGATGTTTCATCACTTCGCGGCGCAATCTGCAAGAGTTATTGGAATTTGCGGCGCGGCATGATATCAAACCGACTATCGTGACTTTTCCTCTTACCAAAAATGGCCTTGAAGAGGCGTTCGAGGAACTGAGAGCGGGTAGTATCCGATACAGGGCAGTCCTGGAGCACCGGGCATTATAGACCCGCACTTTGGCCTGAAGTCCATCCACGAGAGGAGGTTTTTTGTGAATACCAGAAGATGTTGCAGTATCATGCTCTTAAGGTCTCTGAATAATTTCGGTACTTTTAGGTCGCATCTTCTTTGAATACCGAAGAATGAGCCGATAGTAGTATACATTCATGCGATTCTGTAGTCTATGTCGTCTCGGTCCAATGTAACAAAATAATGAGTATGAATATAAGCTATGAAATCCTGTCATTTCACTTTCCATATTAACATCCGTCACTTAGGTATTGTCTTGAGGTAGCCTCGTGTGATCGCTATGAAGACACTCGCTGTGAAGCAGAGCAAATCTTGTGTAGCTTTGTTAATAAAATTCAATCTACATGGTTCCACAAGAATACAACACCTGAATATCCCATATTAGAGCTTATAGGTAGGATGTACGTGAATGGCTAGATCATGCAAGACCGAGTTGCAAGGCGGAAATACTCTTAACTAGTCAATTACACGGACGATCTCTATTCTCAGCGATCTAGATGATGGCAAAAATCCTGAATGATATGACACTGTTTTAGTTTCTTTTTTGACTTAGTCAGAGAAGCCATTTAGAATATTCATTCCTAGCGAACAAAATAGATTTGACAGACTGTCACGTTTCAAGAGAGAACTTAGGAGGAGTCTACCAACAATGGATGAGATATTACGAGTGAATGGAAGATCTGGTAAGTCTTTACCGATTCAGTTCAAAGGCATCTATATGTAATTACAGGAATGTTTCCTCCCTGAATTAGGCAATTATTAAAGATAAGCCGATAACTCATTAGGCCGCTTGCTACAGCAATGGGCACTGGTTAGTTATATACATACCATGAAGAGGGTTCATATTCTAATGATTCCACCAGTTAGAGCTTGTCATATGGTGAGTGTAAGTGCGAGACTAGTAATCAAAACCACGCTAGTACATGCGGTCTCGTAAGCGCCCGCAGACCTACTCTCTAATTTGTAGTCTGACACATATAATAACCTACCAGCTGCCGTAAATGCTAGACATGTAGATGGAAATGGAAACTGAAGTATATAGATTATATTATGAATGAATCAATCTAGATCGAGTATGTTGACATTTAGCAATCACATGAACTATGAAACTTTCAGATATCCATCTTTATATTATCCCAAATGAGCGTTCCCCACAAGAACAGGTCTAGATCTAATGGTTATGAAAAAGTGAGAATATTAACTTCAATTAAAACAAATAGAACAGGCGAGATGGTAAGAAGCGGGCCTAGACCATTGCAGTTCACTCGCACGTCCCCCTCATGTGCGAGTGGGACCACCCGAATGTGCCGCCGCCGAAAGTCCCCCCCTCCAGCCGCGGCGCGTAATGCAAGTGTATTCCAACCTCACCTGTTCCTATCCAATCCCCACAATCATGCCAGTCCTCTCCATCCTCCCCGCTGACGTGCTCTTGCATGTCATCTCCTTTCTTGATCACAGCGGAGATGTCTACTCCCTTTCTCTCCTCAGTCCCTCACTGTTCACTCTTATTCATGGCAACGACCTCGTAAACAAAACCAAATACCGCTGTATCCGCATCACCTGCACACCAGACCTGAAACATGCCTATACCATCCTCCTCGACATCCTGCGTGACCATAACCTCGCCAGTTATGTTCGCCACATCGAGATGGACATTCCTGTTCGCTCTCCGCTGAACTACAAACCGCGGGAATACGATCGCCCCGTTGACCCTGGCGACATGCAGCGTCTCCGTATTGCCGCCACTCGGGCAGGCTTCAACGGTCCTGAACAGGAGAGACTACTCAACATGGCCATGCAGGAGACAGACTACGCCAAGGACTGGCAGTATCTCACTTACTACAAGTATGCTTCCTATTACTATCATTACAAAAACAACATGCCTGACCCAGCCAGCACCCAAGAGGACGCCTACCATGGCAAATCCCCCTTCATCGCTCAAGCCCTGGCAGTGCTCCTCATCGCATCATCCCCAAACCTAACTTCTCTCGCCATATCTCCTCCCTTCTGGGAATATACATCTCCCCGATTTGATGACCCTTCCGACAACCACCATTCCGCTGCCAAGATTGAAAAGTACCCACTAGCCAAATTCCTTCAACGCGCCAGTTTGGGTCATTTCATCAAAAATGGAGAAAAGAAATTCTCCTACTTAGCCAGTCTCAAGTATTTCCAGATTCTAACAACAGAAGCCTCCAGTTTTCATATTGCGCGGTCCCGCGCCTGCGCTCCCCAGGACCTCTGTCTCTGCATTGAGCTGGTGCGTACCCTTCCCAGCATCGAATCGTTACGGATGCAGGCCATTCAGGGCTTTGGGAGTGCGACTAGTGCTGCGCTGGAAGGTTTGCTTCTGCCTTCATCGGCGAGTATCTCGCGTTTGGATCTGAGGGGGTGCGATTTCAAGTCGGATTTGTTGTGCAAAGTTATTCATGCGATGAAGTGCTTGAAGGAGCTGAGGTACTCGGTTGTGCATGGTGGCTGCTATGCGGGCTTTGCGGAGTTCTTTGACCGGTACAGTTTGATCAAGGCTGTCTTGCGTCATAGGGCCACGTTGGAAGTGTTGGATTTGGAGTTTGATGATCATCTGTCTCATTTTGTCGCCGCTGGTGGAAGTGAGGTGCGGGAGGATGCTGAGGATGAAAGTGTGCTGAAGGAGTTTGAATCGCTGAGAAGCTTGAGTCTGGGAGTTAGTTGTCTGTGGTATCTTGCTACTCGGATGGGCGAGTTGGGTGATATCGTCCTGGTGGACCATTTGCCATTGCAACTGGAGTACCTCCGCATCAGAGGCTATGAGAAGGGACATACGAAAGCACTGGACAACATGTTGGTTGGTATGGAAAGCACGAGAGACAAACACCCTGCTCTGTGGACAGTCCAAGGTATCAACGAGTATATTCCTGTAGGAAAGTAATTCTGTGACCAGCATAGTTACCATAAAGAATGACAATATCAACATGTACATAATGAAACTCAAAAGATCCCACCCATCACTCGTAAACCATCCACCCCGTAGATCCAATAACAATCATCGAAAGCATCACCGTCATCATCCCTGCCCCCGCCCTATCCGCCTTCGTGATTTCCAGCCTCAACCCCTCTGGCACTGGCGCCGGCGCGGGTCCCGGCTCTCCTCCTGCCGGATTGCCCTTACTCGTACCTCCCGTATCCTGCGTCACAGGAGGATCAACTCTACTGATTAACGTCGACTGCATCACCTCCAGGGCCGCCATCTGTATCCCCACATCATCCATCCCATCCCACTTCCGATCCGTCCACTTCAGCCCGCACGTCGCCTGAAGCTCACCTCCCGTGCATGTCTGCGCCGCGGCCTTGGCCGAGGCCCGCAGCTTCGGCATCACCAGATCATACGTAAACGGTGCCATCTGCGTCGTCGCAGCCATCCACCTCGCAAGGTACCCCTTGAAAGAGCGCTGATCGACCTGGCATGTGTTAACGGGCTCGCATGCCCGCTCGTACATGACATCGTCCTGGAAGAAGACGAAGCTGGCGTTGAGGATCCCTTCTGTCCTAGCTTTCCAGACAGGTGATTCAGTCTGCCGCATAATCAGCACCACTCTCACTCCCCCAACACCACAAAACCGAAGAGAAACCTACCAAGTTATACATAACAGCAGCCCCCAACAGATAAACCCCCGTATTATACGTCCACTCAATATAATTCCAATCCCCACAACCACTACTTACATCCGCACCATCCCAAAATCGATACGTATCCGTCATGAACCCTACCTCGCCCGTCCAATCCCACACCGTATCTGCCCAGTCCGCATACGTGCTATTTCCCGTATATTTTGCCAGCCTAGCCGCAAGGTTAAAGAAACATCCATTGGATATCGTATTCTTATAAGTCCACCCATTATTAAACGTGAATATCTGCCACCGTAGTCCACCGTTACAGGTGCTCCTGTCCCAGCGCGCGGCTTGCGTGTTGAATACGGCTTGCGCCATCGCTAACCACCCTGGACTTCCTGAGGAGGGTGGAGGGTCGGGGAAGTTTCTCTCGGCGGCGGACATGGCGGCGAACGCCCAGAAAGATTGGTCGTCGTTGCCTTCGGTGCGGGTTTGGTTGGCGGGCATAAAGGAACCGCTGGGCCCGGCTTGCCAAGTTATTCCTTGGGTTGTTATGTTGTTCCATGTGTCGTCGGAGGTGAGGTACCAGTACTCCACGAGGGCTGTGAACATGGCTCCGGCTTCCCACCAGTAATAGGGGTCCGGGAGGTTGCCTGGGTTGTCGCCGGGTTGGTTGCCCGTGTAGTGGGTTAGCATTTGGCGGGCGACGGAGTGGCAGGCTGCTTTGATGGAGTCTTTTCGGCTTGATTAGTTAAGTCGCTTGGACGGTTGTGTGTAGGTATTGGGGGCATATAGTGAGAAAGTAGGGTTAGTACCTGGATCGTCGACATCGTAGTCAATGGCCTGCACGACTACGATGAAGGTATACAGGATGTGCCATATTCGCAGCAACATGGTGATATTGGTGGTGAAACTGATCTGCTCTGCTCACTGAGCGGCAGCGAAGTGGAAAGAAAAAGGAAGGAAGATTGAGTTGTGTTGATCGGTGATTACCATCTACGCTACATTCCCATTCCCGCATCGGAATGTGGCATCTCATGCTTCCATAGAAACGGACCCCACGTAACAAACCATCCAGGAACACGCCAATAAGGTTGGATATAGCATTAAACTCGAGATTTGTGATGCAGTGTCAGGTCACACTGGATCTGGGGTCGGATTTGAGCCAATAGGCAGTAGTTTGGGTGTGGATGAGGGTGGGTGTTTTGGCCGGATCCGGCAACGTCGCATTCCTGGGGTTGTAACTTGTGCACTTTGTTATTGTGGCTTAATGGTCGGGGGGTTATTGTCACATTTTATTCTGATTATTTCGCTGCTTTGTTTGCTTGGTGGTACTCTGGGGTCAAGGGACCTGTGGTAGTGGGGGTGGGTTCGTTGGTAGATGATA